CGGCGCCCCAATGTTCTTTGGGTTTCAAAACTCCACATTATAGTTGCAGCCACAGATATTTTTCTTCCCTGAGTTTCAGATTTCACTGACAGAAAACAAATTAACTGAGAAGAGGTGAAAGAAGAGGAATGGCATAGTTTATGAACCACAGGAATTTGCTGGCATCGATTTAAACCCAGTGTAGACAAAGAATCCAAAGCCTTTCGTTTTAGGGTTTCTTTCTCTCCAGAAACCCGGGGCGCAGCATCAGGGGATAGTAATCAGGGCCGGTGTTTCGGCGCAGCAGGTGAGCTGCTGCCTGTGACCCTGGCATCCCATACAAGTGTGGGGAATAAGTGCACCTGAGACCACCTGCTCACTGAGGGAAGACTCGAACACATGAAGGCGGCAGGAAGAGAGACTTCACTCATGGCCTTGAAGGGGTGTCTGGTGCAGGCACCCGAGAGGAGCGAAGCGCCCTTTTATCTTCTAGTGCGCAGGTCCTGCCCCTAGTTCCTCACTGGCTATGTACTTTGGGAGTCACAATCTTCCCAAATATTGCCCAAGACAGGGCAGGTGTTTGGGTGCCCGGAGTGTTGCTGGACAAACAGGAGGGGCAGGGGATTGGCTGGGACTGTGGCAGAGGCCTCCTATGGGAGGCCTTGTTGTCTTATTACAGTCCCACTTTGTCTTAAAACTAAAGTGCAGCTGGAAGTCTATGTTATGGCTGACTGAGGCTGGTCATGCCCTTTGAAAATAAGCTGTAAAATGAGGCCAGCCCTGTGGCGCATGTAGGTTAATCCTCCGCCTGCATCCCATGTGGGTGCCGCTTCTAGTCCCGGCTGCACACTTCCCATCCAGCTCTCTGCTAAGGCCTGGAAAGCAGTAGAAGATGGCCCAGGCCCTTGAGCCCCTGCACCTATGTGGGAGACCAGGAAGAAGCTCCTGGCTCCTGGCTCCGGATCAGCCCAGCTCTGGCATTTGCAGCCATTTGGGGAGTAAACCAGCAAATGGAAGACCTTTCTCTCTGTCTCTTCCTCTCACTGTAACTCTACCTCTCAAATAAATAAAATATTTAATTTTTTTAAAAAAGAAAATAAGCTATAAAGCATTTTCTTACATGAGCAATCCAGATGGAGCTCCAGGCTCCTGGTTTTGGCCTGGTTCAGCTCTGGCTGTTGTCCTGTTTGGGGAGTGAATCAGCGATAGAAGATTCTCTCTCTCTCTCTCTCTCTCTCTCTCTCTCTCTCTCCCCCTCTCGCTCTGTAACTGCTTTTCAAATACATAAAATATTTTTTTTGAAAAGCAGAGACAGAGATGGAGAGATAGAGAGAGAGAGTTCTTCCATCCACTGGTTCACTCCCCGAATGCCAGTGACAGCCAACACTAGGTCAGGCCGAAGTTAGGAGCCTGGGACTCAATTTGGGTCTCTCCTGTGGTGGCAAGGACCCAAGTGCATAAGCCATCACTGCTGTCTCCCAGAGTGCAAATTAGCAGGAAACTGGAATCAGGAAGGGGCCAAGGACTTGAATCCAGGCACTTTGATATACCTGCAGGTGTCCCAAGTGATGTCTTAGTGTTTTTGTTGTTGTTGTTGGAGAGAGAGAGATCCTCCATCCACTGCTTCACTTCCCAGATGGCCGCAATGGCCAGAGTTGTGCCATGCCAAAGCCAGGAGCCCGAAGCTTCTTCCAGGTCTTCCACGTGAGCGCAGGGGCCCAAGCTCTTGGGCCATCCTCCGTTGCTTTCCCAGGCACATTAGCAGGGAGCTGGATTGGAAGTGGAGCAGCCAGGACTGGAACAAGCTCCCACAAGGAATGCCAACATCACAGGCAGCAGCTCAACCTACTAGACTACAATGCCAGTCCCCCAAGTGATGTCTTAACCACTGAGCCAAATGCTTCCCCCAGGAAAAGTAATTTTTTAAATATTTATTTTGTATTTATTTGAAAGATAGAGTTAGAGAGATAGAAGCAGAGCGAGAGCGAGCAAGAGAGAGAGAGAGAGGTCTTCCATCCACTGGTTCACTCCCCAATTGGCCTCAACGGCTGGAGCTGAGCCGATCTGAAGCCAGGAGCCAGGAGCTTCTTCTGGGGCTCCCATGTTTTTGCAGGGGCCCAAGGACTTGGGCCATTTTCCACTGCTTTCCCAGGCCATAGCAGAGAGCTGGGTCAGAAGTGGAGCAGCCAGGACTTGAACTGGTGCCCATATGGGATGCCGGCGCTGGAGGCTGTGGCTTTAACTCACTGTGCCACAGCGCCGGCTCCCATGCAGTTGTTTTATAATATGCAGTTACCATGGATCTTTTGAAGATTGCTTACATTTTATATTACATATAATATTAGATATAAGATCACACACACACATCTAACATAGACAGATGGGAGAATGGTGGAAATCAAAGACCTCTCTGTAGAATTTTCTCAGTGGTCTCTGAGACACTACCATAAAGCTCCAGTCTGTTAAAATGAATGAAATGGCCGGCGCCGTGGCTCAATAGGCTAATCCTCCACCTTGCGGCGCTGGCACACCGGGTTCTAGTCCCGGTTGGGGCGCCGGATTCTGTCCCGGTTGCCCCTCTTCCAGGCCAGCTCTCTGCTGTGGCCAGGGAGTGCAGTGGAGGACGGCCCAGGTGCTTGGGCCCTGCACCCCATGGGAGACCAGGAAAAGCACCTGGCTCCTGGCTCCTGCCATCGGATCAGCGCGGTGCGCCGGCTGCAGCGGCGGCCATTGGAGGGTGAACCAACGGCAAAGGAAGACCTCTCTCTCTCTGTCTCTCTCTCACTGTCCACTCTGCCTGTCAAAAAAAAAAAATAAATAAAATAAAATAAAATAAAATAAAATGAATGAAATGGCCGGTGCCGTGGCTCACTAGGCTAATCCTCCACCTGTGGCACTAGCACACCGGGTTCTAGTCCCAGTGGGGGAGCCGCATTCTGTCCCGGTTGCCCCTCTTCCAGGCCAGCTCTCTGCTGTGGCCCCCGAGTGCAGTGGAGGATGGCCCAAGTGCTTGGGCCCTGCACCTGCATGGGAGACCAGGAGAAGCACCTGGCTCCTGGCTTCGGATCATCGTGGTGCGCCGGCCACAGCGTGCTGGCCGCAGCGGCCATTGGAGGGTGAAACAATGGCAAAAAGGAAGACCTTTCTCTCTGTCTCTCTGTCTCTCTGTCTCTCTGTCTCTCTGTCTCTCTCTCTCTCACTATCCACTCTGCCTGTCCAAAAAAAAAAGAATGAAATTTCCCAGTATTCTGTGACCACGAGAAGTGATCCATCTAAGACCACACAATCAGCGGGGAGTGGGACAGCCTCAGCCTAGCTCCTGCACAGGGCTCTCCTGTTGAACACAGTCTCTGAAGAACGCCTTGGAGGCGCCCCGTCCCTTCCGCAAGCATTTGAAATCCCAGCAACAAACATCCATTGGTGGCGTATTTTAAAGTCACATTAACTTGATGGGAAAAAAATGTGTGTGAATGAAGGCGTTTGTTCCAAGCACCTGTGACAAAGCCGCACTGTGAAATTGGTGATTTTTCTGTTTGTAAGTTTCCAGGAGATGCTAAGTACTGAAATATTGCTATGGGGGAGATACGGGGCGATGATGAGGGATAATTTTTTCAGATTTTTTAAAAAACATAGTATGAATTTGTTTACAGAAACTTGTTACAAAACAGACTATTCTCTCCTTTAAATATCCAAGGTAATTTAAGATTTACTTATTTGAGGGGCCGGTGCTGTGGCGTAGAGGGTAAAGCCACTGCCTGCAGTGCCAGCGTCCCAGAGGGGCACTGATTCGAGTCCTGGCTGCTCCATTTCTGATCCAGCTCTCTGCTATGGCCTGGGAAAGCAGTAGATGATGGCCTAAGTCCTTGGGCCCCTGCACCCGTCTGGGAGACCTGGAGGAAGCTCCTGGCACCTGGCTTCTGATCGGCGCAGCTCCGGCTGTTGTGGCCATCTGGGGAGTGGACCAGCAGATGGAAGACCTCTCTCTCTGCCTCTCTGTAACTCTGCCTTCAAACGAATGGGTAAATCTCTAAAAACAAAAAAAAGATTTACTTATTTGAAAGTCAGAGTTACACAGAGAGAGGGAGATAGAGAGATCTTCTATCTCCTGGTTCATTCCCCCAGATGGCTGCAACAGTCAGAGCTGGATCAGGTGGAAGCCAGGAGCCAGAAGCTTCATCCGGGTCTCCCAAATGGGTAACAGGGGCCCGAACACTTGGGCCACCTTCCGCTGCTTTCCCCAGGCCATGATTACAGAGGTGGATTGGAAATGAAGCGACCAGGACCTAACTGTACCCATATGGGATGCCAGCATCACAGGCAGTGGCTTAACATACTAGGCAACAAAGTCAGCCTCCAAAGTAAATTTCTATCCCTTGGGGCCTGCGCTGTGGCTTAGCCGGTAGAGCTGCCCCTGCAGCGCCAGCATTCCATATGCGTGTGGGTTTGAGTCCCGGCTGCTCCACTTCTGATCCAGCTCCCTGCTGATGCGCCCAGGGAAAGCAGTGGGAGATGACCCAAGTTCTTGGGCTCCCTCACCCACGTGGGCACCAGGATGAGGCTCCTGGTTCCTGGCTTCAGCCTGGCTCAGCCCCAGGCGTTGTGGCCACTTGGGGAGTGAACGAGTGGATGGAAGATCTCTCTGTTTCTCTCTGTCACTCTGCTCTTCAAATAAAATCTTTTTTAAAAAAGTGATGAATCTAAGGAAGCCTCTAATCTCTAAGCCTTTTCTAAATAATGTCCCCAAGGCTGCGTATTCATCCCCAAATCACCCTGAGGTTCCTCCTCCTGTGCCTTTCCTGAACCGCTCAGGCCAGACGCCCTGTTTCCTTGGAGTTTCCCTTCCTCATCTCTGGGCTCGGGACTATCTCTGGGCAGAACCCAAGCCTGTGCGCGTCATTTCTAGAGGCTTGGCCTGGACTGAAGCCCTTTAGCCGCTCAGGGACCACAGGGAAGAAGCAAGTGGAGCGGCAGCGTCGGAAGCCCGAGAAGCCAGCGTGCTCCCGGAGCCCGTTTCCACGGCAACAACACTGGCCAATCGGCCGCCGCAAAGGTTTCTCGCGGGAGGACCCGGATTTCCGTTCCCGCTGGCGTCTCTCTGGTCTCGGCAGCCTAGAAAGACCGAAAGGGCACTTCCGGGAAGATGGCGGCTCACAAGTCAGGTAAGGCACGTGTTTCTGTGGGGAGATCCGACCCCGAAAGGATGGTTAAGGGGCGCCCTCTTCCCGAGTGGTGGCAGTCGGAGCCAGGGCTCGGGACCAAATGTGAAGGCGGAAGAACAGCCATGCCCGCGTAGCACCGCGGGGGAGGGAGGCCGAAGGAAAGGTCAGCCGGCTCTACAGACCGCTGGCCCTGCACATTCTGACAGGGGAGGAGACAGTGCCGCGTAGGGTGCTGGCAGCCTTCACGGTGACTGGGGCACACAGGTCGGGACCTACTTGCTTCTGTGCAGCTAGCGACTGAACGCATTCTGGATTTCTGGCGCTGCACTAAGCGCGCTGGGGTTACATAAAGCCCGTTCTAACTTGGAGGGCACGTCGTTTTAAATTACTGCGCCAAGGGGTAGGCGGTGGTCAGCTTCACAGCGGGAAGCATAGTGTAGTGATTAAGAACAGCCATTCTGGAATGCCTGATTACCAGTCCTGGTCCTACTACTTGCTAGCTACTTGATTTGAGCAAATGCCTGTTTCTCGTTTGTACATCACCGATGATGACAGCTCCAAAAAAGGGTTGCTGGCAGGACTGAGCCAATCCACGTGAAGCAGGTGGCAGGCTGGCCGAGTGAAAGCACAGCAGGTTTTAGTTATGATTATTACCGTAATTACTGAAATCAGCACTGACAGTCCAGAGAGGACTTCTGAGAAGAGGCGGCTTTGAGGTGGCCTTGAAGGACTTAGAGTTTGAATTTTACTTGTCTTACAAATATCAAGAAGCAAGACCTGGGCATGTTGCAGTCAGCACGTTTCTGTGGGATCTCTCAAGGTGTCAGTTGAGGTTTTCAGGTTACCATCCTCCGTAGCAGCAGTGTGAGTGATCCTGAACTAGCGTTAGCTTCTCTTGGTTCTTGAAGAGATCGGCCACTGTTCCTAAGCCTAATATATAGTGGTTAGGGGAAGTGACTATACTGGTGTCTGGGTTTTGTTTTTTTTTTTAAGAATTTTTATATACGTTCTTAATTTCAAATGAAAGTTTTACCCTTCAGAGTCGTTGCTTGGGGAGGCCCCCACTGCAGTAATGCCGCTAGTCAACTTTAATGGTTGTCCACAGAGGACAACCTGAGGACAGGTTAGCTATAGTGGGTCAAGTCAGTGTGGGTACTCTTAGTTTGCAATGTCTTTCGTGATGAGCCAGCTTAACCATTTCAGAGGCCAATCAAGTTTCTAATTCGGGTAATGCCCTTCTGGATCCAAAAGGAGGAACTGGTGAGTCTGTGCTGAGATGCAGTGGATCGCGTTGCAGTTGGGCAACTTGGGCTCACATTGCAGCAGCATCTCTTGTCAGCTGCGTAACCTCAGGCCTCTCACAGAAGCATCAGGTTGAAATGAGGTCCTGTGACAGTGTGTGCAGTGCACCTGTTAGCAGCAGATGCGCAGTGAGAATGCCCTTCCTAAGCTCGACAGTTTGCAGAGGGGAGCGCCAGCGAGGCTGACATGCAGCAGTGATGTGTGAGAAGTGTGCAGCCCCTCACCCAGGAGATGGTGTCAGTGCTGAAGCAGGGGCTAAGACAGGGGCTCTAATAAGTACCAGTTTCTTATACCCAGGTTAACAAGCTCCTCATAGCTTTGTTTTTGCAGGGAAGTATATTTTGGGAAATGTGCAGACAAGCTGCCTGGGTGTGAATTCTATACACTTCTGCCTTGTGCTCTTGAGCACGTCTTCTAACCTCTTTAAGCCTGTTTCCTCATCTGTAAATTAGGGATAACACCAACTTCCTGACTGGGCTGGGAAGTGCAGTGAAATCATCCACTTAAAGTCTTACACAGCTTGGCACATGGTAGCTCCGCATAAATGCAGGCATCAGCACCAACACAGCCCTCCTTGACTTCCTGTTAGGTTAATGTTGGCCCTCTGGCCAGACTGGGAGTTCCCCATGGACCTGGCCTCCTTCCTCCCTCTCCCCAGGGTTCATGAAAGGGAATTCTTAGAAGAGCAGTGAGGATGGATGAGGACTGCGTTGGACACCTTCTCCTTTCCTCTTAAGAGGTGATGTCACCTCTTTGCTGGTGACAGCCTGAGGGACAGAGCTGCTTTGGCACCATGAGTGCCGCTCCGGAGACCAAGAGTCGTGGGATGAAGTTTGCTGAAGAGCAGCTGATGAAGCATGGATGGACTCAAGGTGATCTCGGGGGCCTCCCCACGTCCTCTGAGTCCCTGCCTGCCCTCTGCCCAGCAGAGGGGCATTTGGACTTGACCCCCGTCATCCATTCAGTTGGAGGAGGACACGCTAGTTTAAAGCAAAGTTTTCTGAATTCTTCAGAAAAGGGAAGAGTAGAAGAACTTTGCCGGTGGGTAGTAAGAAAGAAGTGGTTGAGAGGACTTGGGGAAGGAGGAAGCGACATGGCCTCTGTCTCAACAGGGGTGAAGGAAGAGCTAGTTCAGGCTCAGATAAAACCGGGGGGACTGCATCGAGGGGTACCAGAAAGAAAGGAGCTGAGGGGGAGGGCTCCTGAGAGGGACACGGTATGCGCCGGCGGTGGGTGTGCAATGGCGAGGCGTGCCGCGTGTTGTGGGCCCACCTGGGGAGGGCTCAGGACAAGCAGCCGATTAAGCCAAGACACTCTGTCACCTACAGGCAAAGGCCTGGGCCGGAAGGAGAATGGCATCACGCAGGCCCTCAGAGTGACGCTGAAGCAGGACACTCATGGGGTAAGACTGGGCAGGTGGAGGAAGGTCACCACGATGGGGAGCGGACGGCCCTTGCGCAGGTGAGGCGGGTGCTCAGAGCTCACTTACCCCCTTGCAGGTGGGACACGACCCTGCCAAGGAGTTCACCAACCACTGGTGGAATGAACTCTTCAACAAGACTGCGGCCAACTTGGTAGTGGAAACCGGGCAGGTGTGAGCTCGGACAGGCACACGACACGGGAGGGTCAGGGATGTGGGGGAGGGAGACGTGCTATGTCCCCTGCTCACGGAGACTTCCCTGTAGGATGGAGTACAGATAAGGCGCCTTTCTGAGGAGACCACCCATGCTAGTCGTCCCAAGCCCAACCTGCTGTATCAGAAATTTGTGAAGGTATGAGAGGCTGGGGGTGGGGGAAGCTAACCGTCGCTTTTTCCTCCTCTGTTCTTCCCTGGGGCCTGAGCAACTGCCTTGTATGCCCTACTGGTTCTCAGGACTGTCCTCCAGAGGGGGACCCTCTGACCAACTCGCTGTTGCTTACGTAGACCGCCCAGACCCTCAGCAAGCGTTGACACCTTCCCATTCCACAGCCCAGCAGTAGGGAGTGAGAGGGGGCGCACAGGCTTTCAAATACGAAGCTGCTGGAAGACTGGGGCAGGGGGTCTAGTTCTAAGGATTTAGAAGCCAGAGTAGACCTGGGAGAGAATCTGGTCCATCCTCATTTCACAGACGTGGCCACATCGGTGGGAAGTGGTGGCTGACCACCACTGCTGGCAGTGATGGACAGGACTAGGGCCCAGGCATGAGGCTCCCGCTCCCCACTGTACGGACACTGAAGGGTCATCTGTTGTATGCTGAGGACTTTACGTGTTATCTACACGCCTTCCCATGGCTCGGCATTTGTGCTGCCCTGGTTCAGGGTGTCGTCATCTCGTTAACAGCCTCCTCACCTCTGCTGTCCCTCCGCACGACAGTCACAAAGCCTCCAGGGTGTTCTCGCTAACACACAAAATTCATCACGTCAGTATTGCTCCTTGACCAAGGGTGACGCAGTCCACACTCATGGACTGGCCTGTGGCCCTGACAGGCCTTGTCTGCGTCTCCGGCCTCATCCCTTTCCAGTCCTCTGCAGGACTGCTGCACTCAGCCACTTGGAGTCTTTGTTTTCTTTGAAGGTACCATGTTCCTCCTTCAGGTTTGTCCCTCTGCCTATGACACTCTTCTCTCCACCCTTTTCCCTGCTAATTTGTCCTTATCTTTCAGAACTTGGCTCACACAGCAATTATTTCTGGAACACATTTCCTGAACCCCACCTCTCGTACAGGCCAACGCTCAGTCACCGCCTAGGCTCTGCCACACTCCCCACTCCCACTCCCAGTGATCCCATCTGGGCTGGACCCTTCTCATTCTTGCTCTACTCTGTATCCCAATTCTGTGGCCCGTCATAGATTCTCATTTAACCCTGTCAGAGGAAAGTGCGTGAAGAGGTTCGGTGGCGTGGGGTTGCCATCTTTATTGTCACTGCGAGACCTGGTGATGCAGGGCGCTTCCTTCTCGCTCTGCCCACCAGTCAGCTGAGAGCCTGAGAGCCAATGCCCAGGCTGCCCCACCTCCTGCCCAAGCTGAAGTCTGCAGGATGGCACGCCTCCCCATGGCTCTGGTGCTGGCAAATTCCTGCCTAGGGCCGTGAATTCCTGGGGGGAAAAGGGATGGCAGTGGTGTCGACTGGGCCTTGTCCACTTCCATGGTCCCTCTCCTAGGTGGCCACGCTGACTTCAGGTGGAGAGAAGCCAGACAAAGACTTGGAGAGCTGTAGTGACGAGGACAACGAGGGGCCCAACCCACCAAGGATGTGAGACTTCTTTTAGCACTAGCGTGTCGGGGAAGAGCCTGTGCAGTCCTGAGAGAGAGGACAGTCTGATGTTGGACCCTGGCCTACTGGGGGGCAGGAGAGGAACTGTGCCTAACGGATCTTTGCATCCCAGCATCTCACAGTGCCAGCTCCTGAACAGAGCTCAGTGAAGGGATGCGTTAGAGGGGAGGAGAGGTCACGCCCTCCTACCAGCTCTGCTTCTAACTCCTGATCTCCCTCGACAGTCTGACTGACGAGATGCTGCTCCAGGCCTGTGAGGGGCGAACAGCACACAAGTAAGTCGTGGTGGGCCCTGGGCTCCTTTCTGCCCACCCTGAGGATGGCCTGGCCACCTCCTGATGCTCCTTACCCCAGGGAAACGGTTCCAGGCGTCTGCTGCCTGAAGAAGACGGGCAGCTTCCTGCAGCCCCGAAGGTTGGGCCCATTTCCCCTGATAACCCTCATTCTGACTTGGACCCCACTGGTTTCAGGGCTGCTCGTCTGGGGATTACGATGAAGGCCAAGCTTGCTCGGCTAGAGGCCCAGGAACAGGCCTTCCTGGCTCAACTCAAGGGCCAGAACTCTGGGGGCAAGCTCCCCCAGAAAAAGAAAAAGCAGCCGAAAGAGGAGGAAGAGGCCACAGCAGCGGAAGGTCACGCAGATGAGCAGCACGCTGACCAGAGCGTCCGGAGGAGCAAAAAGAAAAAGAAAAGACGCCGTGAAGAGGAGGTGTCAGGTGGGGGTGAGGGAGCAGCCGTAGGGGCAGAGGAGGAAGATGCTGCAGGAGCAAGCGGGCTTGGAGCAGTGCCCAGCAGAGAGCAGACCGACCACAAGAGGAAGAAGAAGAAGAAGAGGCGGCACCACCAGGAGGGGGACGTGGGGGTCTTGGACAGCGGAGGAAGAGGTCCAGAGACGCAGGCGGGGGAGAGCGGAGCACACGCTGACCTGGGCAGCAGAAGCGCGAGGCGGCAGCTCAGGGACGTGCACTCAGAAGATGGAGAAGCTGAGGAGGCCGGCTCAGCAGGTGGGGCTGGGGAAGCAGAGCGCGGGGTCTGCAGGGACCGCAGACGCAGGAAGCAGAAAAGACAGCATCGAGGGGAAGAGGAGGTGGCCGTGGAGGTAAGGGGTGAAGAAGAAGGTGGCAGGACTGGGGAAGAGGGCAGGGCACACAGCAGCTCAGGCAGCAGAAGCAAGAAGAGGCGGCGGCAGCACCCAGAGGCGCCTGCTAGGACCAGCCCCGACCAGAGAGCCAAGAAGAAGCGGAAGAAGAGAGACTGAAGCCTGGTCACAGTGGTGTTCAGCTCTATTCAGTGGCCTCGGACACAGTGGCCTCGGACACTGGGCTCGAGGGCGTGACTCTGCAGCCCCTAAATGAAGACGGTCCCAAGCGGAAACGCACCCAGGAATCGCAGTCTGCTGAGCCGAGCAAGCGGGCACCGTCCCCTGCACTGTGCTGACTCAGACGTCATGGGCTTGGACTCGGGCGCCGGCAGGGCAGGGCGGGCTGGGGGCTGGGACGGGAACGCAGAGCCCGGTAGCGGGACCTCTCTGCTGAGAACATCGACTTGCCAGACGCGTCCTGGCTTGTGAATGCTGATGGAACAGATTCAGCTCTGGGGCCACCTTCACCCAGATGGCCGGCTTCCAACATTCTGCCAAATGGCTGAATAAACATCAGCTCGGGCTCCTGGCCTACAGGTACGTCCAGACTGGCATCTCCGTTCCCAGCCTGGGAAGGCTCTGAGTACAAATTAGGAAATCTCCCTTGGAGGCTTCTGGAGAAACTGTTATTCTCCTGTGCGCTTGCTGCACTAACGTAAGTGGCTGCAGCTTGCTGACCTCACCCAGCGCCCTGCTCCCCCACAGTCCAGAACCGTGCGTCCATGAGGGACGGCTCACCTTGCTTGGGACCGACCACTGAGTTCCCAGGACATGGCAGTCTCTTGCTATTCCATGTCCCCCTGAGAGAGCACATCTCCAGGACTGCTCTGGGGCTCCCGTCACCCACACATCTTGCCAGAAGATTCCCTGGACGCCACCACTCTGGGAGAGAGAGGCACTAGGTCTTTATTGGGACGGCTGCTGCCACGGTCCCTCACTGCAGGCGGTAGACACACTCCGTGTCTGGGTAGGGCGGCAGGTTCAGCTGGTACTTCTTTTCTAGAGCAGGTGGCACAAAACGACCCCCCAGGTAGTGGTAGCGGCCGGTGAACTGGGTTGCAGACTTTTTGGGTGCCGTCAGGGAGATGAGCAGGTCTGGCTGGATCCCTCCAGAGCTCCCCTTCTCCACATCCCATCCTGAAAACAGAAGGTGGTGTTCAGGCAGCACAGAAGAGGCCAGATGTCTAGGCCCTCTACTCACCCGGATGTGCTCTGGCCCTAGAGTACTGGGGACCCCGCAGCCCCCACCTAAGGGGTTCTCATTCTAGGAGCTCCTTGTGCTCCAGGACCTGAGGTTCTTTATGGGACCAGTATGTAAAGGGGGCTTCTGAACTCTGCTCCGCAGCTCTGTGGGATCCAGAGAGCTGTGTCCCACCCCCTGCAACCTGAATTTAGACCTGGTCTGAGCTAGGGTCTAAGAATCAGGTATCCCACCGATCCCCCGGTGCCCCACCTGAGGGAATGTCAATGCTGGCAATGGGCACGGTGAGTCCACTCAGGACACTCAGGATGCTGCGGAATGGCTCCCGAACTTCACCCTTGAAGCTGAAGCCAAAGATGGCGTCCACCACCAGTTCATACAGCTCATCAATCATCATGGGCTGGGGTGGGGCAGGAAAAGGAGACAACGTCAGAGCCTTAGCTGGAGAGGGCTGGCCCTGTTGTGCCCACCGACCATTCACAAAACCATTCACAGACTCATTCAGAGGGCATCCCAAGGCCTAGGGCAAGTGTGAGTTGGTCTCAGGCCAAACTGAGACCAGACTCATTCTGTGACTGGGAAGCCACTTATCATCAGTAAGATGCATTAAGAAATTTACAAATTTCCAATTTCCCATCCCTAAATCCATGCACCTTCAGAAAGGGGTTAGGATGAGGCAGTCAATCTGGCCCCAGAGAGGGGCAGCTCATGTGTCCTGCTAAGGGAAGAGGGGAAAGGCGGCTTTAGAGTAGGTGTGGGGGAGTCATGGAGCACACCTTGTGGGGCGGGGCGGGGCGGCGCTTAACGCACTTTTATCGAAATGGGATCCTGGGCCCCTGGAAACACGAAGCAGGGGTTACTGCAGAGATGGGGTGCAACTGGAGCCACCTACCTCAGAGGGCATTTCACCAAGGAAAGGGATGTCCATCTTCTGACACTGGGTTACCAGCGCAGTGAACAGTGGTTTGTTGGGCCTTTTGGGGTAATAGATGGCTGGCTGGTAGCCCTAGGAAGGAGGCAAAGTGATAATTTAACCCAGACCCCCAAAGCCTCATGCCCTCCTCCAGGGCCCCTCTCACCTACTCACAAAGAGTTTGAGGTGTCGAGCACAGACCAGGCCATCTCCTCCATTATTCCCAGGGCCACAGATGACCAGGACGGCGGGGGGGCTCCTGGACATGGACGTGGGGGGATATGCCTGGAGGCAAAGTCAGAGGGGCGGTCACAGGGGTTTCGGGAATGACCGAGCAGGTTGGGCCAGCTGTCTCCTCCACACCCCTGTGTGCCTAGGCCAGGGGGCTCGACTAGAGACTCGCTCTTCTCAAAGGTGGAGAGTGCGCCACTGACCTTGGCAATGGCTGTGGCACAGCTCAGCCCAGCCAGCTCCATAAGTTGGTCCACGCTGAACTGGTACTCGTTAAACAGCTCCTGGTCCACGGCCTGGGCCTCCTCCTGGCTGAGGCAAACCCTTGGCCTGAGTCCCCGCCCCCGGGCGACCGTCGCGCGGACAGAGCACCGCCCAGGCCCGGCAGGGGAGGGACGACGGTCGGCGGAGCCCCGCCTACCTCAAGTACTTCACCGAGGTGCTCGCCATGACCTCCGAGTACCTGCGGCTACCCGAGTCCTGCCGCTGCGGCCTCCACCAGGTAAGTCTCTGGCGGCAGACGCCGGCCTGGCTTGTGATCCGCGGCAGGCGCGAGCCCGCCACCAGCAGCCCGAGTCCCAGCAGCGCCCGCAGCCCGGACATCCAGCTCAGTGCGCGCGCGCCACGGCCTGCCCGGCCCTGGCGCATGCGCGGCGCTCGCCCCGCCCCCGGGGGCCGGGCCGGCGCGGGTCCGCCCTCTGCAGCCGGGACCCCGCCCCTCCGGAGCGTTTGCAGGGTGCGGCGCGTTTCCAGTTGTGGGGGTGTGCCCGCTGCCAGTCGCTCTTCGGTAACGATAATCATTCGCGGTTCTGTGGCCCAGCAGCTCCTGTACCCCCACTTCCTAGGCCGTGGGAGGCAGCAGGGATGGCTTTGGGTCCCTGTCATCCACATGGGAGACCTGGATGGAGTTTCAGGCTCCTGTCTCAGCCTGGCCCAGCCCTGGCGGTGGAGAGTGGACAAGCAGATGAAAGAACTCACTCTCTCTCTCTCTCTCTGATTCTGGGGAAATAGAAAACTAAACCTTAAAAAAAAAAAAAGATTTATTTATTTGAAAGAATTACACATAGAGGAGAGGCAGAGAGAGGAGATCTTCCATCTAATAGTTCACTCCCCAGATGGCCACAAAGACTGGAGCTGCGCCGATCTGAAGCCAGGAGCTTCTTCCGGGTCTCCCACGTGTTTTCAGAGCCCAAGGACTTGGGCCATCTTCTGCTGCTTTCCCAGGCCATAGCAGAGAGCTGGATTGGAAGTAGAGCAGCCGGGTCTCGCACCAGCACCCCTATGGGATGCAGGCGCTTCAGGCCAAGGCTTTAACCCGCTACTCCACAGCGCCAACCCTGAAAACTATAAACCTTAAATAGGTTGAGTAAACTATGGTTAAAAATGTGACTGATACCATAGGCTCCGAATCACACAAATTTCTCATTGGAAACCTGGAGAATAATAAATTTTGCCCAAGTATTTTTGAGAATGCAAACACATTCTGTGGTATGGTTATGGGAAGAGGTTGGGAGATGGCAAACCAGTTACCATTAAAGCAGTAAAGACAAATGCCCAAATTGTTATGGACTGCAGGTTTGTGTCCTCCCCAGTTTTTAAAATTTTATTTATTTTATTTATTTGAAAGGCAGAGTTACAGAGAGGAGAGACAGAGATCTTCCATCCACTGGTTCAATCCCCAAATGGCCACAATGGCTGGAGTTAAGCCGATCAGAGCCAGGAGCTTCTTCCAGGTCTCCCATGAGGTGCGGGGCCCCAAGGACTTGGGCCATCTTCTGCTGCTCTCCCAGGCACATTAGCAGGGAGCCACATCAGAATTGGAGCAGCCGGGACTTGAACTGGTACCCATATGAGATGCCAGCACTGCAGGCGGTGACTTTAGCTGCTATGCCACAGCGCTGACCCCAAGAATTTATTTTTTTAAATGTGTTGTGCCTTTGATGTTGTGTCTGTGAAATACTTACCTAAGTGAGGCTGTTAAGAGTCTCCAATGCTTTCTTTTTTTAAAGATTTTTTTTTTTTTTAGATTCTCTTTTATTTAGGAGGAATGTATATTGTTAGTCACTGTTATCAAGGATCACATAAAAGCGGAATCATAAAACCGGGCTGCAGCCATCATGGCACCCAAGCCTGTGCTGGGCTCTTCCCCGCTCTGTTCTGGGAGTCACTGCCAAGACCCCAAAACCAACAAAGTCCCCTCAGCTTGAGTAAAGCAAATAGCTTCAAGCACGGACACTTTTTACAAGTGATTATTCAAAGAATGCACAATAGCCACGGTTCAGACGGATCAGCTACAGAAATCATTAAAAAGAAAAGTGGGGGGCTGGCGCAGTGGGTTAAAGCTCCAGCCTGCAGTGCCGGCATCCCATAGGGGCACCAGTTCAGGTCCTGGCTGCTCCACTTCCGATCCAGCTCTCTGCTATGGCCTGGGAAAGCAGCAGAAGATGGCCCAAGTCCTTGGGCTCCTGCACCCACGTGGGAGACCCTGAAGAAGCTCCTGGCTCCTGGCTTCAGATCAGCTTAGCTCTGGCCATTGCAGCCATTTGGGGAGTGAACCAGCAGGTAGAAAACCTCTCTCTCTCTCTCTCTCTCTCTCTCTCTCTTCTCTGGCTCTACCTCTCTTTGTAACTCTTTCAAATAAATAAAATAAATCCTTTTTTTAAAAAAAGTAGGGGCAGGGTCCTGCTGATTAAAAACAAAGATTGAACAAGAATGGGTTGAGAACACCAGGTGGAGGCCTAGCCTCCTCCGTCCAGTGTGACGTGGGGAGGCAGCGGGGGCCACGCGGCTCCTCCCGCACTGGAAACCAGATGCCCCGAGGTTCGCTAGAGACAGCAGGGGAGGGCATGGGCTCTGGTTTTCCGAGGGCCCCCAGCTCGTGGCTAACAGGAGGCGGCTGAGACAGCTCTGCCAGAGATTCTAATGCCCAGGATGCACAGCGCGGCTACTGTGCCAAGGTGTCGGCATGGGGACCCTGCGAGGAGCCCGGGGAGCAGCCTCCCCGCTCTGCTGCGTGGACACGCCTTCAGGCCCCGTTTTCCTGCCAGCTCCTCGGGAAGTTTTGGTGCTCTACAAAGACATCTTAAGTGTGTTTCCCAAACTTAGGTTTTCTTAGTAGGGTCCACTTTTGGTCAAAAGGTGTGGACAGAAGATCCCATAAGATTTATTTATTTGGAAGGCAGAGTGACCAAGAGAGAGGGAGAGACAGAGAGAGAGAGAGAGATCTTCCACCTGCTGGTTCACTTCCCAAATGGCTACAACAGTCAGCACTGGCCAGGCCAAAGCCAGGAGCCAGGAGTTCCATCCAGGTCTCCCACATGGATGGCAGGGGCCCAAGGACTTAAGACATCTGCTGGGAATGAGATCAGAAGTGGAGGAGGCCGGCGCCACAGCTCAATAGCTAATCCTCTGCCTGCGGCACCAGCACCCCGGGTTCTGGTCCCGGTCGGGGCGCTGGATTCTGTCCCAGTTGCCCCTCTTCCAGTCCAGCTCTCTGCTGTGGCCCAGGAGTGCAGTGGAGGATGGCCCAGGTCCTTGGGCCCTGTACCTGCTTGGGAGACCAGGAGAGGCACCTGGCTCCTGGCTTCGGATTGGCGCAGTGTGCTGGCCACAGCACGCTGGCCGCCGTGGCCATTGGGGGGTGAACCAACGGCAAAGGAAGACCTTTCTCTCTGTCTCTCTCACTGTCCACTCTGCCTGTCAAAAAAAAAAAAAAAAAGATGTGGAGGAGCTGGGACTTGAACCTGTGCTCCTCTGGGATGCCAGCATTGCAGGGGATGGCTTTGCCCACTGTACCACAGCACTGGCCTCATGAAGATTCATTAGTTATACACAATGTGAAGCATGTTTTTATGACATGGACAACATTTTTGAACACATGTGCCAGATATTAACATGAAACATTCCATTCTCACAGCAACCCTAGTATTTCCCATTTCACAGGTGAGAAGGCTGAAGCTCAGAGATGTCAAACAACATGCCCACGGTGCAGCGAAGCGACAGGTGTCGGAGGAGCTGGGCTCCGGGCTGCCTGACCTGGGAGTCTGCACTCGGGTCGTTCCGTACTGGACTGCCCCAGCAAATGCAGGGAGCTGGCTTGGAAGCAGCGCAGCCGGGACTCCAGCCGATGCTCGATGCCGGATGCCGGTGTCGCAGGCGGCAGCTTAACCTGCGGCGCTGCAGCGCTAGGGGGAGCTGCGGGGGTGAAGACTGCAGCCAGCATGCTGGGTGCGGGTCACGTGATCGTGCAGAAGCCAGACTGGGGGGGTCTCCTCTGGGGTCCCCTGGGCCACTGGGACGACCTGCAGGAGCCAGGAGGGACTTGTCATGGGGGAGGGGCGGGGGAAACTGGGGGAAGAGCCGGAAGCAGCCTGCCCCACTTCTGGCTCGCCTGGGCCCCAGCACTCACCTAAGCTGGCGGGCTCCGGGGCAGGAGGGAGTGGACTTAAACTTCACATCCCCCCATTCTGCAGGCTTCGCCCTCTCTCCGAGGCCACGCAGGAGGCAGGGAACACCTCGGGCCTGCAGAGCTGGGCGAGGGTTGTTCAGGTTGCTGAAGGGCAAAGACCCAAGGCTCAGGGTTCTGTATCCCAAGCACCAGTCACCTCTTCCTTCAACTTGAACAGAGGTCAGGTTGCGTGGAAATCATCAGAAGCTTCATCGTCCACTCCCCGTGCCGTTCTCCGCGCCTCCTCCCGTCCCCCAGGACGCACCTATTGGCTTGGGGGCCACTGGGTACCAGGATGCCAGGGTGGTCCACTCGGGCGGGAAGACGGGCCCCAGGTCCTGCGCCTGGAGGGGGTGTGACAGACGTGGTCACCGCAGGCAGCTCTGCACCAAGAACCACCATGGGGGGAAAGAGATGAGGGTAAGAGGGGACACACTGGTCACCAAGGGCTCCGGCCAAACATGGGTGCTAGAAGCTGGCCGTGGCAGTGATGCACCGCGTCTGGGAGGAAACGCAGAGACAGCGCCAGCAAGGCCAGGGCAGCTCCCGGGTGCCCAGCCGGGGGCTGGGGGGAAGCCACTAGGGAGAGATGCAGGAATGGGGAGCTTGGGGCCAGGTGCCCGGAGAGGAGTGCACTGTAGGCTTTTCACAAGCCTGGCTGCTCTCAGAGGCTGCAGAAGTTAGGCAAGGGAGCGAGAGGGAGGAGGAGAAGTTTCCCAGGAAATGGGCGGGGACCTTCAGAGCCCAGTCGAAAGGGCAGGGCCCCTCTTCTGGGGTGGCAAATCCGGAGAGCCAGGGCCGGGCGAGGGACGTGCCAGGCCCCTGCCTCCTCCCCCTCCCCCCACGGCGGGATGGGTGGAGGAGGGAGCTGAGAACGAGGGGGCGGGTGCAGCTGGGACAGCCTGCTTGGACTCACGCTCCAGTCTCCGAGGCCTGGACGCTGTGGGCTGATTCACCAGTCCCTCTGGGTCTTTCTCCTCCTGGCCTTCCTCACACTCTTCCTCTTCCCACCTGCAGGGCAGACAGACACCACAGCCTACTGGTCTCCTCCCCAGGGGGTACCAATCAGGTTCCCCCAAAGCTCCCCTGGAGCCAGGCCATCCCCAAGCTCCGCCCTGGCCTCGCTCACCTGGGCTGTGCACCTGCTGTGCTGCTCCTCACCCTGGCTGGGGTCCCTGCCTGGCAGGCCCCTCCTGGAGCCTGGGGCCTTCTCTGGAATGAAGGGGAATAAAGGGAATTGATTTTTTTTTTTTTTTTTTTGGCAGCTGTGCACAAGTGTGGGAGTGGCCACCCTCGGCAGATAGAGGCTTTATACAGACAACTCAGGGTGTGCGGCGGCTTGTCTCAGAACCAAGTTCCGGGCTGGGGTCACTAAGAGGTCTCAAGTTAGAGGGTCAGACCTGGCCAGAGCCTGACCCTCCACCCCCCACCCCCAACCCAGAGCCTGGCGCCACCCCCACCTGCAGCCTCACCAGGCAAACTCACAGGAAGTTGTGGCAGACCCAGGTGGCACCCAGCCTTCTGGACCCAAAACCATCCCCTGCCTATACCAGGCTAATTTAATGCTGTTTGCAAATTATGAGTATAGTGTTCTAGTCTTTACATGAAAACATAAGACCTAGTAAGTTCCTGTAATAAATATTAAAGTGTAGGGGCTGGCATTGTGGCACAGTGGGTGAAGCTCCCTCTTGGGACACCAGCATCTCATATGAGCACCAGTTCGAGTTTTGGCTTCTCCTGCTCCACTTCTGATCCAGCTCCCTGCTAACGTGCCTGGGAAAGCAGCAGAAGATGGGCCAAGAACCTGGGCCCCTGCCACCTATTTGGGAGACCCAGATGGAGCTCCTGGCTCCTGGCTTGGTCCTGGCCATCGCAGCCATTTGGCAAGTGAACCACTGAACAGATCTTTTTCTGTCTCTCTGTGTGTGTGTCTTCTTTTCCCTCTGTCACTCAGTCTTTCAAATAAACAATTTATTTGAGAGGCAGATTGACAGAGAGTGGGGAGAGAGAGGTCTTCCATCCGCTCGTTCACTCCCCAAATGGTCACAATGGCCAGAGCTGGGCTGATCCGAAGCCAGGAGCCAGGAGCTTCTTCCAGGTCTCCCACACAGGTGCAGGGGCCCAAGAACCCAGACCATCTTCCACTGCTTTCTCAGGCCATAAGTAGCCGGACCGGAAGTGGAGCAGCCAGGGCTAGAACTGGCCGCCCATATGGGATGCTGGCACTGAAGGCAGGGGCTTAACCTGCACCACAGCAGTGGCCTCAGTAAGTCTTTTTTTTTTTAATATTGAAGTATAATTTCAATTTCTGGGGTGGAAGTTTCCAGAAGGTTCTCATAGTGGGAGGAGGAGGCAGTTGGAGAGAGGAAGAGCCAGGACAGGAGCCCCTTGGTGATGCTCCCTGGCGACTTGGAGCTGGAAGAAAGGGACTTTCATGGGGCACTACCCCCATCCTGTGGTCATTTCGGGAACTGCAGCCAAGGACAAAACCGTTTCCACCTCCTGGCAGAGCCGGCCTAGGAGCCTTGATTGCGCCGGGGGCCTCACCCAATGGGCTTCTTACCAGTCAGCCAAAGCGCCGGGCAGCCCTGGCGTTGGCGGCCTGCCTCGTCCGCCCACCTCCCCACCCCGCGGGGAAAGTGGCGCGCATCCCACACGCGAGCCTGGGGCAGCGGAACACAGATGAGCAGCCAAGCGCAGCGCCTCTGGGAACGCGGGCTCCGCTCGCCGCCACCCCCTCCTCCCGGAACCCCCACCCTGGCCGGTCCTTGTCGCAGGTGTCCTTTCCCCAGGGTGTGAGCCGGGACCGGTCCCACCTGGGCCGAGTGGGTCCTCATGGCGTCTGCCAGCTTGGCCACCAGCCGTTGTCGCACAGAATCTGACTCCTCCTGGAGAAGGGGGCAGGCCTGGGCTTGGTGGGGACATCGTGGGGTCGGGGGTGGGGAACAAAACAGGATGGGGACGAGGGGAGGGGGCTCCGTGTCCCCCTCTTCTGCTCCATCCCCGTGCCTTTTCTCGGGGGTCCCGACACTATGGTCCAGAGGCAGGGGCGTGGAGGGGCTCACCTGACACTGGGCCAGCGCCTCCTTGTAGTACGTCAAGGCCTGGTCATACTGCCCCAGTCTGGCTGCCGCAGCCCCCAGACCCTCGCAGGCCTGCCACTGCCCCTTCGTGTCCCCTGGGGGAAGGCAGGCGTGAAGGGTCCTCTCCCTGCCCCACTGACCTGCCCCTCCATGGGTACCCTCCCGCCCAGCGCCCAGAACCCCCCGGGCTCCGGCCCCGCCCTTACCGGAGTCACAAGCGGCCTGCAGGGCGTGCAGGTAGCTGTCTCTGGCGGCCTCGTGGTCCCCCAGCTGGCTCAGCGCAAACGCCAGGCTGCCAAAGCTCCGGCCCTGCTCCCACCGTTGCCCAGCAGCGCCTGGCAACACAGCCCACTCGGGCCTAAGCGGGCGCTTGGGGCTGCTGGAGCACCGGAACCCTCACCCAGCAACCTGGGGGTGGGGGGCTGGCCACCTCCCCCAACTGGCTAGTCCAGGCGGGCAAGGCGGGTGTGCCCGCTGAAGCTGGGTGGATTTGGTGTCCCTAAGAGGGGTGCTGCGCCCTCTTGGGGCCCTCCTCCCATATTCTTCCCTCCCCTTGCTTATGCCATGGTTCCTTTCCATCCTGCCAGGCTCTCCCTGAGCCCCCTGGCCCCAGGCCGCCAGGCCTCACCATTGGCCCCAAAGCTCCCTCTCTCCTTAAGCCTCAGGGCCCCCTCTTAGTCCTTGGTCCCGGCCCCAGCACCTACCATGTAGGCTGGCGGCGGCACGGTGAAATGCCTGGGCTTCCGCATAGTTGCCAAGGGCGTTGTGGGCTACCCCGAGGTTTCCCAGTACCGTGGCCTGCTCCCGGGGGTCCTGGCACAGAGGCAGCGCCTGCCCGAAAGCCTCCACGGCCATAGGGAACAGCTGCAGCCGGGAGTAGCCCAGGCCTAGGTCGTTATACAGCCATCCTAGAGAACACAGCTGGGGTCACTGGTGGCCACATCCGACGTCCCCCAGACCCTTCCCTGCAGGCTCTGTCTCCCCAGATCCCCACCTCCCTCCTCTCCCAAGGCCTCACCCAGCTGTGCCCGATCTGCGCTCCTGTTGGCAAGCTTCCGGCTCTCCTCCAGCACCTGTAGCACCTCACCCACCCCGTGCCGCCCGCTCTCCAGCATACACTCTGCTGCAGCCCCCAGTGCTAGGGCTGCGGCCCGGGGCCGCTTTGCTTGGGAGTAGGCCCGGCTTGCTTCCTGCAGGCAGTGGGCTGCCAGCTCAGGCTGTCCCAGGGCCTGGTAGCAGGCTCCCATTTTTGCCTGGGCGTCCCCCTGGTCCCCCTGGGGCTGGTAGTGGCCCAGAGCCCTGCGGTACCAGGCCAGAGCTTGAGTCAGGTTGCCCAGGGCATGGTAGGCCAAAGCCACATTGAAACAGTGGTCTCCGTGAGGCCTGCCCTGCGCCTTCTCCTCGGGCTGGGCCCGCAGGAGCAGCTCAAGGCCTCTGGCTGGGTCCCCAGTCTCCACGTAGGCGGCTCCCAGGTTGCAGGCACAAGCTCGGAGCACGGAGGTGTCCCTGGTCCGTGGGGCCTCAGAGGCCAGGAGGAAGGCCTTCTGGAAGCTAGCCAAGGCCTCATGGCTCTGGCCGGCTCGTAGAGCTGCATGGCCAGCTCTGGTGAGGGCTTGGATGCCGGCCTCCTGCTGTGACCGTGTCGTCTTCTTTTTCCTCTTGCAGCTTGCGGAACCAAGCTCAGGCTCTGGTGGGGCATCCTCAGGGCTGGGAGAAGACATGGGACTGACAATGGGGAAGAGAGGCCTGGGTCTGTTGGCCTTGGCTGCCCCAGAGCAGCCAGCCTCCCTGGAGAGCAGTTCAGCCCCACCCTGCTCCTGACAGGACTGCACGCCTAAGAATGGCTGACGTGGGCAGCACTTGGCACAGCGGTTGGGACGCACACATCCCATAGCAGAATGGTTGGGTTTGAGTCAGCTCTGGTCTGGATTCTAGCTTCCTGCTCATGCACACCCTGGGAGGTGCAGATGGTGGTTCAAGTAGCTGGGGCTTTGCTACCTACGTGGGAGACAAGGACTGAGTTCCTGGCTGCCACCATTGAACTCACTCACCCCAGCTGTTATAGGCGTTTGGGAAATGAACCAGCAGACAGGAAAGCAATCTCTCTCTCCCCCTCCCTCTCCCTCTCCTCTGTGTGTGTTTCTTTACCTTTCCAATAAAATAAAACAAATTGTTAACCCAGGCACTCTGATTTGGGATGTACACGTCCTAAGTGGCAACACTGTGTCAAACAAACACCAGCCCCCCCATTTTAACCCTTTTTAGGGGTTCAGTTCTGTAGCGTTAAGTACGCTTCCGCTGCTGTGCACCCATCACCACCATCCACCCTCCCCGCCCAGAACTTTTCATTACATTCAAGGTAAGTGTAACTGATTGATTTTAAAATTTGGAAGCATTAGCGTGCACCTGCTGTTACATACAGTTCACAGCAGTCAACAGTGAGCCAGTGGAGGAACAGCCTCTCCTTCCCCTGCTTCTCTGTGCCTCTGCCTGCCCCGCCCCCACTCCTATCTCGTGCCTGCTGGCTCCTCTCCACACAGAGTCCAGGGCAGGCCAGTGCTCAGAGGACTCCTGCCTGAGCCGGCCTGGGGACTGGACTGGCAGGGAGCCAGCCTCCAGGGGGTGCTGCCTTTCCATGGCCAGCCCCTCCCTTTGTCTCCCCGAGGGTCCTCAGCTTTCTGTCTCCTGGCCGGTTCCGGTCCCCCCGACATCCTGCCCTGGTCTCCAGGGTCCTCTTAAACCGAATCCATTCAGCGCGTGTATCCGGTTAGAATCCTTCCCCTCGGAAGGCAAAGCCTTTCACCAGCTCTCCTCCCAGGAGGCAGGAAAAGGCGGGGAAAGCCCGGAGCGCTGGGTTCTTGGCTCCTCCCCTTTTCTTCTCTTTCCCCTCTGTTTTGGGGAGAGCCAGGCAGAGGTGATGCATTCCTTTTAAAAAGACATCCCCCCTGCTTCAGAGAACACCCAGAAACCCTGCTCTTCCAGGCCCTCAATCCCGGGCGTTCAGGCTACCTCCATCCGGTCTTGGGGCCCCGGCTGCAGGACGCCTCACCTGCTTCCTTGTCTGCGGCTGGCTTTCTGGAATGGATCCTCTGGCTTGGGTTACCTCCCCTCTTAGCTCAGAGCTCCTGGGGTTACCAGACAACCAGGTGCTGCCCTCCGTTCCTAGGGAGTTCTTTGAGTGACAGCTCGGGTATCCTATCTTAGTGCTTGGACACAGACACTGGGTTCCACTGCCCTACCTGGGCTGCGGCTCCCCACCGGGCACACACAGCCCTCCCATCTTTCACGTCAAGGAATGAACCAGCACTCTGTGGGGCTGGTTACTGGCTACACGCTCAGAGATGGCCTACACACACACACACGCGTGCGCACACACACACGCACACACACACACTGTGCTTCTCTGTGGTACTTTCACATTCGGGAGCAGGGTGGAAGGCTGATGATCAGGAAAGGCCTGATCTAGAAGCTCCAGGCCCTGTTAATGAGAGGACAGTCGGCCCCAGGACAGCGGGCACAGAATGCCCCAACTCACTGAAGGTGGCTTGCGTCAGAAAGCAAATGTCCCCACTCACCTGGGGAGGCCTGTTTTGGGCAGAGAGGACTTGGCCAGAAACAACACCCTAAGGAAGTGCTGGGCTCACCCGCACTGGCCCTGCAGCACTGGCGCGGGGCCAAGGAGAGGCGTGCTCACCCAGCCGCCTCGCCTCTCACGCAGACTTTCTGTAAGGAGCCAGGATGAGTGGGGGAGGGGTGGGACTGGACCTGCCAAAGACTCAGCGGTCACTGCTGAAGGCCTTCCTGGCTTGATTCCCTGCTGTGGCCGCCATTTCTGGCAACGCCCTCCGCACTGGGCTTCCACGACCCCCATGGATCCTTCCTTTCCCCATCTCCTCTGCTGGGCCCTCTGAGCACCTCCCAGTTGCTAGGGTCCCCCAATCCTCTGCCCCTCGCTATTTTCTCTTCTTCATTTACCTATTCTTCCCAGAACACTTCACCCGCTCCTGTGCGTTCAGCACCACCAAATACGCCAATCATTTCTAAATGTACCCTTCTTCAAACAAAACTTGCATTTCCCCAGCTCAAACCCCCCACACCCCCCGCCCAAGCTGGAAACCAGAAGTCGCCCTTGACTCCTCTCTCCCTGACTCAGCCTCGGCCTATTGAAATCCCTCTCCACGGTCGCCTCTTCTGCAGCCTCATGTCCGTGGCCTTGGACGTGGTGTACTTTATAGTGGTTAAGAACTCAAGCTTGGAGGGGGACTGTCTGGGTTTAAATATTGCTCTACACATTTGTGAGCTCTTTTACTTATTTAAAAGGCAGAGCTACAGAGAGAGAGAGAGAGGGAGAGACAGAGAGAGAAAGAGATCTTCCATCTACTGATGGTCTCTTCTTTTTTAAGATTTATTTATTTATTTGAAGGTCAGCATTACACAGAGAGAAGAGAGGCAGACAGAGAAAGAGAAAGAGGTCTTCCATCTGCTGGCTCACTCTCCAACTGGCCACAATGGCTGGAGCTGGGCCGATCCAAAGCCAGGAGCCAGGAGTTTCTTCCAGGTCTCCCACACAGGTGCAGGGGACCAAGCACTTGGGCCATCTTCTGTTGCTTTCCCAGGGCATAGCAGAGAGCTGGATCAGAAGTGGAGCATCGGGACTTGAACCGGTGCCCATATGGGATGCCGGTACTGCAGGTGGCGTTTTTACCCACTACACCACAGCGCCGACCCCTGATGGTCTCTCTAAAAGGCTGCATCAGTTGGGGCTGGGCCAGGCCAAAGCCAGGATTGAGGAATGTCATCTAGGTCTCCCATGTGGGTGGCAGGGGCCCAAGGACTTGGGCCATCTTCTACTGCTTTCCTAGGCGCATTAGCAGGGAGCTGGATTGGAAGTGGAACAGCCGTGACTAGAACTGGCGCCCATATGGGATGAAAGAGGCAGCTCAATGCTGGCCCCTGCCTGGGTCTTTCTGGCCCAGGGACCCTTGTCCCAAGCAGAAGTGAGGAACCTCATTCAAGATCTTCCTTTCCAGCTGGGAAGGGGGTTTCAGCCCAGCTGTCTAAGGGCATATCTGCCCGACTCATTATCAACGGTTCCTTCTCGGCATCTTGTTCTGGGGGCCCTCCCAGGAAGCAGGAATAGGACCCCCATGGCCAGGAGCCCCAAGCATCCAGATTCTCTCTACTTCTCTCAGCTGATGAGAGGCAAGGGGAACCACTCCTTTTCTTCAAAGAAATATCCACTCTCTTCAAACCTCTTCCTAGGCAAGTTTGCCTCAGCCTTAACTTGTCTGAGGGTTCTGGGTTTGGATCTTTCCCTTTTTATTTCTATTTTTTAAAAGCTTCATTTATTTATTTGAAAGGCAGAGTTATAAAGAAGCAGAGGCAGAGAGGTCATCCATCTGCTGGTTCACTTCCCAAATGGCCACAATGGCCAGAGCTGGGCCGATCCGAAGCCAGGAGCCAGAAGATTCTTCTGGGTCTCCCACCTGGATGCAGGGGCCCAAGGACTTGGGCCATCTTCTGCTGCTTTCCCAGGCCACAGCAGAGAGCTGGATTGGACGTGGAGCAGTTGGGACTCAAACCGGTGTCCATGTGGGATGCCAGCACTGCAGGTGGTGGCTTTACCCACTGCACCACAGCGCCGGCCACGGGGTCTTTTCCCTTTTTCTGCCCTGAGGCTCAGCCTAGGCTGCCCGCTGTTTGCCTGGAGTTGGGAGGAAAGGTAAAGGGAGCAATAGCACATGGGAGAAGCCCATGAGGGAATCCGCAGGGCTGTTCAGGCCCTTCTCTCTCACCTCTGCCGCCACTGGTCTCTGCTCCTAGTCCCACCTCTCCAAGCCCCTGTGGGAGGAGGGGTGCTCCCGGAACATCAGTCTGACTCACCAGCGCCTGAAGTGTTGCTTGCTTATCACACCAAGCCCAGCGCCTTCGCGTGGCACCCAAGGCGCCGCAGGTCCCAGCCTGCACCTTTGGGCCTCTTTCCTGCCCTGCCTGACTTCCGCTCACCCCCAAAACTGAGTGGAGATTAATCCTCCAAACTCACCTCCTTGCCCTGGTGCTTGCTGTTTCCAGTGATAAGAACGCCTCTGACCTCCAACCTGACAAAGCCTCCTTCACTTTGCAACCCTGAACGGCTGTCAGCTCCACTAGGAAGTCATCCCTGCGCTTCGCGGCTCTCCGTGACGTCATGGCCACCACTCCCCTCCCCCTGCGCCTCTCTGCCCTCTACTTGATTTCACTGCGCGTGGGAACAGCAAACTTCTTCAGAACATTCACTGCACTTGTGTACCTCTGCATGTGTGCCACGTAGTTTAATGCATTGCACCACGTAGGCCCGGGAGTTAGCGGGACCCAGAACCGAGCAGGGGTTAACGGGAGTATTGGGGGGAAATGACGGAGGGAAGGGCAAGGACTCGCTGAAGTAAAGGGGTTTAGCTTTTCTGCACACCTGGGCGGCGGTCTCTGCGGCCCGGGACTACAAATCCCAGGACTCTCTGCGCAGCGGACCGGAAGTGTCTTGTCCGACCAAGGCGACGGAGAGGGGCGGTGGCCCAGCGGCGGGAGATTCAAACCTGGAAGAAGGAGGAACATGGAAGGGAGAGGAGCGGGCCCGGGCCCCGCGGCCTGTGAGTGCAGGAAGGGTCGGAGGAGGGTCCGCGGTGGTGCCGCTGCTGGTGGGGGAGGGTAGCTTGGCTGCCTTGGGGGAGGCTGGGGCGGCGGCAAGGGGCTGTGGGACTGTGCTGGGTGGGGAGGGAGCGCTGGGTCCCGGCCCCCGCGGGCCCAGGCGGGGCTGCCAGCGGTGAAACGCCTGCTGACCCCCAGGCCGCGCGTCGGAGCTTACCAAGAGCGTTCTCCCTGATTCCCAAATTCCGGAGCTGCGGGGTGAGGAGAACGTAGGTTGTCTGGCCGAATCCTTACAATGCTGCAGTTACTGATGGCTTCCATGCGTGCCCAGCGCAGCCACGGGACCTGCAGCGACCCGGGCGCACCCTGGCGCTTTGCACTGCGCTTTGAGACAAAGCCTGTCAGACTTCAGGCGCCGAAATTCCCTGCGGCTCTCAAACTACAGGTTCCTTGAGTCCTAGCCGCGTTCCACCGTGAACTGCATTTATAGCAAGCACTGCTGTGAGGCTTCCCCAGGGGGTTGGAGTTCTAATGCAAGCAGTCCTTTCCAATAACCCTACCTGAGAGAGACCGGAGCTGGGAGGGTGGAAGGCATAAAGGTTTCCGTTTGCTAGTCTGACCGGAGCGACGTCCGTGTCCAACCCTTGGTGGAAAGAAAGCTACTCTCAGGCATGACGACGGTTGGAAGATCGTTTTTTGTTGTTGTTGTTCCCCTTTGAGACTGTGTGTGTGTGTGCAAAGCCCCGCCCATCTCTCACAGCCCTCGATTCATAACTCTGAAGTGATGTCACTCACTTACCGGTTTATTTTCCATGCCTAACAACCAACAATTGTTGCTTAGCCTCCCCCTCAGAGGAACTGATGGATTTCCTGTGCTTTCCCATCTGTAGCTGGAGATGTGTGTTTTAACTTGCTTAACCGCCAGTTCAAATAAGCCTTGTCTCCCTCAAATTACCCTGCAGGACATGCAATAGAGGGAAATAGGATAAAGACGCAGAATGGCACTAAGTGCTGAGTCAAACACAGATTGAGCAACCTGGCCCTTTGCAAGCCGTCCGACTTTTCTTTTCTTGGGGGGTGGGGGGTGGGGGAGTGTCTGCATAGCTTTCTCTTGCCCTGTTTCATTGCAGTATTGCCTCTAATTTATTTAGTTTCAAGATAATTTTCCTCCTTGGGTGAGCTATGCCTAAAATGATAGTGAAGGTGCCCATGTGAGCTTTTAAAATTCTCTTTGTCCTTCCACTTAATCCCTGGTGGGCGGCAGTGCCTTCTGTTGCACTGGCTTCTCCTTCTTTCTGCCTGTTCGTTCTTGGAGCCCCGGCTCATAGGTAGAAGCCTCTGCCTCCTCTGTAGATTGAGGCCAGGACTGCAGTCACGCTTACCCTCTTAGGGTTGGAGTTGTTTCCATACATTTTTATCTCTTATTTAGTTCTTTACTTGAGATGCAGAGAGCGAGCGAGCAAACTCCTATCTGCTGGCTCACTCCTCAAATGCCTGCAATAGCTGGGGCCAGGCCAGGCTGAAGCCGGGAGCTAGGAGCTCAGTCTGGACTTCCCTCACGGGTGGCAGGGACCCAGTGAATTGAGCCATCACCTGCTGCCTCCCTGGGGGCACGCTAGCGGGAAGCTGGAATAAAAGCAGAGCCAGGATTTGAACCCAGGCACTCTGATATGCACTGTAGGTGTTCCAAGCAATCCCTTAGCTGTTGTGCCAAACACCCACCCCCACATTCTTCTCTAATAATAATCTGTGTTTTGTGAGAATAGGAGTCCACTTGATGTAGGCAGGCATAGAGGATAAAATTGATCAGGTTTGCAAGCTGGAAGACCACGCCTTCGCCACACCCCTGTGTGACCTCATGCCCCTACCTGGCCATACCTGTGTGCCCACCTGTCAATCAGGTTAATTAACCACTCCTCCTTGGAAGTGGATTAAAAGCCTAGGACATGTTGTGCCGGGTCTCTTCCTTCTTTTTGGCCTTTTGCCATTGCGGGCCGGTGCTGGCCAGCACCTCCAGGGTGCATGGCCTTTGGGCCACCCGTGCTTCCTGGCCTGTATGCTCCTCCATGTGGCTGGCTCCTGGTACTCGGTATGAATCTAGATTTATATCTCCTTTTAGATAGAGCCCTCACTCTCCTATGCATTTCTCTCACTGAATAAAAGCTTAAAATGTGTCATGCTGCCTCATTCAGAATTCTTCTCTGAATATTAGGCAAGAACCCACACAGGCTTATTAATATTGGGAATTTATTAATAAGCACATGGTGATGTCATATGCCCCCCCATAATCCGATATCACACCGACCCAATGCCTGACATAAAGGAGGTATTGCATTGCTGAATGGCTGTTGAATGCCAGGTCATTGCGGGTTCTGTTAGCAGCCTCTGAGAGAGAACCCAATGAGGATGACACAGGTCCAGTGCTTGGAGAACTCGGAGTCTAACAGGGGGAGATAAGGTGCTAAGTTCTCAGCCACACAAGGCTCAGGAGGCACCTGCTCCGAGACACTGAGGGAAGGGCCATGGAGTAGATTTGCGGAGGAGGAAGGCGGGAAGATAACTGGAGGGGCCAGGCAGGGGTGCTGCCAATCTACAGGGAGGCCCCTGGTAAAGGGGTGCAGGGAAGGGGAGGAAGGGCAGGTGGGAGGTGCTGCAGGGCTCTGAGCGGAGCAGCCTAAGAAGAAACTTAACATTCTACAATGTATCCACGGACCAAACATCCATGGTGACCCATACCTCAGACTTCCTTGTGTCTGTTACAAAATTATTTTTTTAATACAAGAAGGTGCTTCCCTGCTGAGGCCTCTTGTCAGATGCGCCCTTGGTGGACCCCTCCCCTTCACCCCGCAGATGAACGCCTCACGGCCGAGGAGATGGACGAGCAAAGGCGGCAGAACGTGGCCTATCAGTACCTGTGCCGGCTGGAGGAAGCCAAGCGGTGAGTGGAGTCCCCGGAGAGGGCCTCCTGGTCTCCCCACCCAGGTGCCTGCCCCCAGTGCCAGCGCCAGGGGACAGGGCTCCATTCTATGGAGAAGGGAGAGCTGCCATAACATTTTTTTTTAAGCAGATACCAAACATTACCTCTTTTATCCCTCTGCGTCCTTCAGTATGTATCTCTAAAATCACCACCACAATGCTTTTATAATACCCAGCTGAGTTATCCCCAAGTCCTTGGAAGACTGATTCCCAAGCCATTTTCAAATTTTCCTATTTGTCTAAAAAGAACGTCTGTTTTTTTTTGTTTGGCTTGTTCAAAGAAGTATCTTTAAAAGTACATGCATTATCCTTGCCTCATAAGTCTTTAGTCTGGAGCAGCTAACCTCCCCTTTTCCATTTTGCATGTCATTGCCTTGTTGAAGAAGATACTGGATCGTTTTTCCTGTAGAACATCCTACATTCTGACTTTATTTGCTTCCTGGTGTCATTCAACTGATTCCTCTATACCCCATATTTCCTATAAATGGATCTAAAGGCTCGATGAAATTCAAGTTCAACATTTTTGACAAGACTTCGCTGGTGGTGGTGTGTGTTTCACATCACATCTCCCAGGGGGAGCCTCATGTCTGCTTGTCCCACTTTTAGTAATGCTCAGTCTGATCCAGGAGTTCAGGTGAGAGCAAGCTGATCTCTGCACTGAACATTCCCTGCTAACCTGACATCTCATGCCTGCCTCTGTCTGGGGTCCTCACTGGAACCAATAGTAGTGGTGAAAAGTGAAGAGCCTTTTCTTTTCTTTTTTCTTTAAAAGATTTATTTATTTGAAAGAATTAGAGGGAGAGCCATAGAGAAAGAGAGAGAGATCTTCCACCTGCTGGCTCACACCCCAGATGGCCGCAACAGTCAGGGCTGGGCCAGACTGAAGCCTGAAGTCAGGAGCCAGGAGCTTCTGGGTCAGTCTGCCATGTGGATGCAGGGGCCCAAGGACTCGGGCCATCTTCTGCTGCTTTCCCAGGTGCATTAGCAGGGAGCTGGATCAGAAGTGGAGTAGCCAGGACTCGAATCAGCACCCATGTGGGATGTCGGTGTCATAGGCGGTGGTTTAGCCCACTATGCTGCGGCATCGGCCCCAGTAGTATACTTTTAATGTTCTCCAAAAAAGTAGATGGGATGTAGCGGAGAGGAAATCAGGTGTCTATGGCGAAGAAAGTCTGAAGCAGCAGCAGAGTGTGACCGGCTCTCTGGACATGGATGCTTTCCCGCAGGCCCCAGTGTTAGGGAAGTTTGAGATTTCTTCTTGCAACCACCAGCACTGGTAATGCCTTACACTGGTACTCAAGGTGTTGTCAGGTGCGTGCGCTCATTAGATCCTGGCAACGGCCTGCTGTGTCAGGAAGCACATTGGTCTTATCTTCAATTTGCAGACTACAGCTGAGGCTCAGGGAGGTGCACTGCAGGAGATGGAGTGGAAAGTGGGTCTTATTCCAACATCTGCGACTTTTCTGTCCCTCCTTTGTTGTGATTGTTTTGTTTTTAAAATTACTTATTCATTTATTTGAAAGAAAGAGTGAGCAGAAAACTGCCATCCACTGGTGCACTCCCTAAATGCCCACCATAGCTGGAGCTGGGCCAGAGCAGAGCCAGGAGCTGGGAAAACAATCCACATTTCTCTCCGGGTAGTGGGGACCCTGTCACTGAAGCCATCACCTGCTGCCTCCCAGGGTGCACATTAGCAGGAAGCTGGAGTCAGGAGCCAGCGCCAGGACTCTAACCCAGGCACTCCACTGTGAGATGCAGATGTCAACTGTGAGGCCAGTGCCTGCCCCTTTTCTCTCCCTTTGTGCTGTGTCCCTTCCATCAGCCCAGGAGTCTCCACTACCCTCGTTATCAAAGCTAGGTTATGACCATGTAGGTCCCTAGGCAGACCTGACCTTGATGGAACTGGCTTCTCAGAGAGCAGTGAGCGGTTTCATTTTGTCCAGCAGTCAGATATGTAACCAGACTGTCATGTAACAGTGCACGTGGTTAAGCCTCACTGACGGCGCGCAGGTTCAAGATCTGTCTGGGAAGATAGCTTGGGGCAGGTGGGGCTGAGAGCTGGCCAGTCTAAGTGTGGGGCAACTTGGGAGAAGGTAGAAACGGCCAGGCAGTGGGCAGAGGGGGGCTTGGGATCGGGCAGGGAGAGAGGCAGGGGAGGGTCGGGGCAGGAGGGAGGGAAGGAGGGAGGGGAGGTGGGAATAAGCCACTGTGGCCCGCCAGAGTGGGTGAGAAGGGACTCTCGTGCTCCTAGCTGGATGGAGGCCTGCCTGAAGGAGGAGCTTCCGTCCCCGGTGGAGCTGGAGGAGAGCCTCCGGAACGGGGTGCTGCTGGCCAAGCTGGGCCACTGTTTCGCACCCTCCGTGGTTCCCCTGAAGAAGATCTACGACGTGGAACAGCTGCGGTACCAGGTGGGGAGCAGTGAGAGCCACCGTCTGCCTGCTTCCTCTCCCCCCGCCCTGCCTCCTTGCAGTTGGGAGGGGAGGTGGCCCTGTATTTATTACCCCAAACTGGACACTTCCGAGGAGGAAAGGGGTGGGTGCATTTACTCACTGCACTGGATCACCAGGTGGGTGTGTACTCTCTCAGCAGCAAGCGTGCTTGCTCGGAGGGCCCTCAGGTGCCGCAACGTGAATGCTGCCAAGCTTACGCCCAGAGGCCCGTGGGCTCGGCCACCTGTGGGTGCTGCTCCTTCCTTGCTCCCTGCTGTCCAGTCCTCTCTTCCCCACCCCTGCCCTCCTTCCCAAATGTCTAGCTGGTGCTTTCCCGCTCAGTTTTTCTGTTCTGGGGGATGGGAAGGCCACGGGGCGGTTCCTCTGGCTCCCCGGCCGCCCTTCCCTGTAGAATCTAAGCTGTGGTCCCGGCACTACCCACAGGGAGCGCTGAGACTGTGGAAACAGTCTCAGATTCTCTTTCCTTCCCTTGCAGGCAACTGGCTTGCATTTCCGTCACACGGACAACATCAACTTTTGGCTGTCTGCAATCGCCCACATCGGTCTGCCTTCGGTAACCCGGGGCCGGGAGACCCGCGCTCACCTTTGTTCTTCACTCACCTCCAGTGCCCCCGCCCCCGCCCTGATACACACATTAGCTCCCTGGGCTGCTCGGCCCCATTGCAGGTGTCCTCTGAGCTAACAATCTAAGGGAACCATTTGTGGGGCTGTATGCCTTTGAACCAAGTAACCTGGTCTCTGACTCCACTGCCCCCATGGATAAAAGGTGAGGTCTCCCTGACTGAGTTGCATTGTCCCCGTTCAGCAGTGAGGTTCCCAGGTCACACCGGAGGTGGGCACACGGTGGCCAGCCGCCTCCCACCCATTTCACAGTGTGAAGCGCAGGCACTCCACGTTGTGGGAGACTGAGCTGAAGCCTAGGCCCAAGACACCAGATGGACGCACAAAGCGTGTCCTTTCTCCCTGTGGATCTCGGATTGTTTCTCACGTGGCAAATGGGGAGAGTGGTGCCCAGTGAGATGCTGTCAGGGCGTCACGTGGCCGGTGTGAATTCTCTGGGAACTGTAGAGAACTGTAGCACTTAGCACTGTTTTCTGGTTTGCTTTTCTTTTTTTTTTTATTTTTATTTTTATTTTTATTTTATTTATTTATTTATTTTGACAGGGAGAGTGGACAGTGAGAGAGAGAGACAGAGAGAAAGGTCTTCCTTTGCCGTTGGTTCACCCTCCAATGGCCGCCGCGGCCGGCGCACCGCGCTGATCCGATGGCAGGAGCCAGGAACCAGGTGCTTTTCCTGGTCTCCCATGGGGTGCAGGGCCCAAGCACCTGGGCCATCCTCCACTGCACTCCCTGGCCACAGCAGAGAGCTGGCCTGGAAGAGGGGCAACCGGGACAGAATCCGGCGCCCCAACCGGGACTAGAACCCGGTGTGCCGGCGCCGCTAGGCGGAGGATTAGCCTAGTGAGCCGCGGCGCCGGCCTCTGGTTTGCTTTTCTTCACTATAGACGGGAACAACAAGGTGAGGAGACGAAAGGAAAGGAAGCTACTCCGGTGGGAGCAATAGTGTATCCTCAGTGGACCTGGGACGCCTTTTTTTTTTTTTTTTTAAAGATTTGTTTATTTAAAAACAGAGTTAGAGAAAGAGAGAGAGAAAATCTTCCATCTTCTGGTTCATTCCCCAAATGGCTGCCCCAGCCAAGGCTAAGCTTGGCTGAAGCCAGGAGACAGGAACTTCCTCCAGGCCTCCCTCATGGGTGACTGGGGTCCAAGTACTTGAGCTACCTTCTGTCGCTTCCCAGGTATTAGCAGGGAGCTGGAGCGGAAGCAGAGTGGCCAGCACTTGAACTGGCGCTCCTGCAGGAGATTCAGGTGTCCCAAGTGGTGACTTCACCCGCTGCACCACAATGCCTACCCTGGGACCAGGGCACTCAGCCTCTAGATTCAATCCTTCATTATGAACCTAAATGTAATCAAAATGTGCTGAGGTCAGGCCCTGTCACCATCTGCAGCTGGCATAGGAATCCAGGCCTAGGGTGACTTAGTTTTGGCTCTCCCCCCACTGATTACAGGCCTCCAGCTTGGGAACAGGAGTCACTGGGCCTTTATGGTTCTTTTTGTTTTGTTTTGTTTGAAGATTTATTTATTTATTTGAAAGGTAGAGTTAAAGAGAGGCAAAGGCAGAGCGAGAGCATGAGTGAGAGCAAGAACAAAAGCAAGAGGCTGGCGCCGCGGCTCACTAGGCTAATCCTCCGCCTAGCGGCGCCGGCACACCGGGTTCTAGTCCCGGTCGGGGCGCTGGATTCTGTCCCAGTTGCCCCTCTTCCAGGCCAGCTCTCTGCTGTGGCCAGGGAGTGCAGTGGAGGATGGCCCAGGTGCTTGGGCCCTGCACCCCATGGGAGACCAGGAAAAGCACCTGGTTCCTGGCTCCTGCCATCGGATCAGCGTGGTGCGCCAGCCGCAGCGCACTGGCCGCGGCGGCCATTGGAGGGTGAACCAACGGCAAAGGAAGACCTTTCTCTCTGTCTCTCTCTCTCACTGTCTACTCTGCCTGGCAAAAAAAAAAAAAAAAAAAAAAAAAAAAAAAAAAAAGAACAAAAGCAAGAGAGAGACAGAGAGAAAGATCTTCCATCCGCTTATTCACTCCCCAAATGTCCGCAATGGCCAGAGCCACGCTGATCCAAAGCCAGGAGCCAGGAGCTTCTTCCCACGCAGGTCTCCCACGCAGGTGCAGTGGCCTAAGGACTTGGGCCACCTTCTACTGCTTTCCCAGGCCATAGCAGAGAGCTGGATGGGAAGTGGAGCAGCTGGGACTCTAACCAGCACCCCTATGGGATGCTGGCACTGCAGGCAGTGGCTTTACCCACTATGCCACAGCGCCAGGCCCAGCCTTCATGGTTCTTGGCAGTGCATGCCTCCTAGGGCCCTCTGCAGGAGGACAGCCAGCTCTCCAGCATACTCCCTTTCTGGTGAGGTCAGGCTCCCTGTGTCTGTGAGACGGCTGGGGCCGGGGCTCCCGCAGGATGTGGCTCGCATCCTGCAGTCTCATCGGGAGTTCTGTCCGTCAGGGAGCCCTATGGCCAAGTCTTGGCTTACGTGTCCCAGTCTTCTCATCCTGAGCTGACTCAGAACGACTGGGGAGAGTGACCCCGAGCGAAAAGGGGGCACACACCTCAGACTGGAGAGGAAGACCCATTTCTCTGCCTCCTCTTTCTGTCGTGCGGCTTCCAAGCCCCCAGTGGCAATAACTAGCTGGTCTCTCCTCCAGACCTTCTTCCCCGAGACCACGGACATCTATGACAAGAAGAACATGCCCCGGGTGGTCTACTGCATCCACGCTCTCAGGTGAGAGACCCCAGGCCTTCGTCAGCTGTTCCTCTGTGGGTGGAGCCAGCAACTGATAGCAACCCGTGCAGCAGGCAGGATGGGGGTAGACCCCAGGGAGGGCCTCGGGAGCCTGAGGATCTAGACGTACGTGGTCGCGTTTAGGTTTACGTGTGTGTTTGTGGGCGCCTCTGGGCATGACCCACGTGGGTGAATGGAATGAGCAGGCAAGGTAGGGTTTTCAGCTTGTGTGACTGGGGTATAAAGGCACCGGGACAGCACCCAGCAAGAGTGTCCCGCATAAGCTACATAGAGTGAGTAGGCAGGGCTGCTTGGTCCTACTCCCAGCCAATTGGCTAAATTCATGGAAAGTGACACCTTGTGTCTACCACGTGCTCATCTCCTGTGCTCCTTTGTGCCTCTGCTCAGTGGGTGTCTGCTCGCTGGGCCTCTCCTCTGTCCATCTGGTGACCTGCTCCTGCCGTGTGTCCTCTGTGACACCTTCCCAGTTGCCCTGGTCATGCCACAGCATCATGCTTACCTGCTGTGGCCCTTGTCCTGGCTGACTGCTGGTAACATTTCTCCCTGTGGATTGGGGGTGACTGGAGGGCAAGTGCCGAATGGGCTTCACTCCGAGTCCCCACTTTGTCTCCTGCAAACCCAGCTGTGAACACAGTGTCAAAGTGTGTCTTCCAATGCCTTCCCATTCCTTCCCAGTCTCTTCCTCTTTCGGCTGGGATTAGCGCCTCAGATACAGGATCTGTACGGCAAAGTGAAATTCACAGGTAAGCCCATCTCGGCTCCCCCAGCCCCGCCACCAGCCCGGGCAGGGTCTGAGGAGTTCTGAGCCTGAGGAAGTGCGCCTACACTGTCATTGCAGCCGAGGAACTCAGCAACATGGCCTCTGAACTGGCCAAGTATGGCCTCCAGCTGCCTGCCTTCAGCAAGATCGGGGGCATCCTGGCCAATGAGCTCTCGGTAGATGAGGCTGCAGGTAGGGGCTGGGCTGCCGGGCTACTCCTGCTAGCACCAGGCTCAGTGAACGTCTTCAGATGGATCCTGGCCACCTGTCACCCACAGGCGGGGCCATCAGGCGACCTGGAAAAGGAAGCGATGTCGGGGTGGCCTGCAGCTGGTTGCACTCTGGTCTGGGGTTCATCCTGACCTCCTGACTTTGCTTCCCTGCCCCCCACAGTCCATGCCGCTGTCCTTGCCATCAATGAGGCAGTGGAGCGAGGGGTGGTCGAGGACACGCTGGCTGCCTTGCAGAATCCCAATGCTCTTCTGGGGAATCTTCAAGAGCCTCTGGCACCCATTTACCAGGAGCTGCTGGCCCAGGCCAAGCTGGAGAAGGCTGCCAACGCCAGGAACCACGTAAGGAGGCATCCTGGGGCGCACAGGCCAAATAGTCGAGTGGCCTGGAGGTCACCAGTGAAGCCAGGGGTCCTATCTATTGTCTCTAGGTTCCAAAGTTTCTCGGAGAAACTAGTTTATCGATGACTAGAGAAACAGGAGAGGAATTTTGCAGGTTGACGAGAACTCAGAAGAGCAGCCTAGAGAAAGGGTTCTGGGGGGATGCTTGCCTTCAGGGAGGACTGGGCAAGGCTCTGAAACACAGAGCTGCACAGGAGTGGATTGGAGATCCTGAAAATTGGGACGGTCGGTGCCAGGGATGACCCAGCTTCCCCAGAGTCCTGAGCAGAGGGCGGCCCCCAGAAGAAGGAACAGGTGTAGAGGGGGAGGGAGCGATGGGAGGAGGTCGAGTTGGCTTTCCCCCAATGAAGTTTTTGCAGAATGACAGAGAGAGCCAGGATATCTACGACTTCTACCTCACGCAGGCTGAAATCCAGGGCAACATCAACCATGTCAATGGTAAGAGACAGCCCAGGAGGGGCCTGGGTTCTCCCCTGGGAGGTCTGAGGATGGCTTTTCAGTCCCCACTTGGACCAGCTGTTGCCTTGGGGAAAAACCAGAGGCCTTCTGGCCCTGAGTGTCTGGAGAAGTGGTCCCTGCCGGGGCGGCATCCTCTGGAAGAGAGGTCCACTGGGAGGACAAAAGGCAAAGGGACAGACCCCTCAGCCCCCGGTGCTGGGTGCAGTTGGACTGGGCACCCTGGGGCAGGCGTGTGCAGTGGTTGGGGGAGGGGCTGCCTGAAGGCTCCGGGTGGATGAGGCTTTGCCTTCTTGCATCAGGCTCTCTGCTCTCCTGGAATGCGCAGATGAGGCTGTGAGGGCCAAGCTGGAGCATGAGGGCTGCATCAGAAGGGCCCAGGAACTGAGGGGTGGGGGGTGGGAGTGGAGTGACTGGGCAGATTCCCAGGGCTGGGCTGCAGGGTGGAGGGGACCTTCCCATATCGCTCACTGGAATGTCGACCCTTTGCAGTCCATGGGGCTCTAGAAGTTGTTGATGATGCCCTGGAAAGACAGAGCCCTGAGGCCCTGCTCGAGGCCCTTCAAGACCCTGCCCTGGCCCTCCGAGGGGTGAGGAGAGACTTTGCCGACTGGTACCTGGAACAGCTGAGCTCAGACAGAGAGCAGAAAGCACAGGTCAGGCCCTGTTACCTGCCATCTCCTCTGGGTGACTGAGGGGACCTCTTACCCAAGGAGCACCGGTGTCAGTCCTTTGTATTCAGTAAGCGCTGACTACAAGTTCAAAAGGCTGAATTTCTCCCAAAGCCTCATGGATGAAACTGATCAGTTCCTGTCCCCTGGGGGTCCCTGCCTGTGACCCGGAGAGACCCAGGGGCTGCAGAGTAGGCAGTGACGTGCTCCCCACTGCAACTTAGCAATTGTTGGCCTTCACCTTGACGCTATCTGCACTTGTGTTCTTTTGTTATTTATCATGCTTGCCGAGTAAACAAGTTAAAAATGGGTAAACAGGCAAGGGTGGGCCAGCCCATTCTGCCTAGCGGGGAGAGTGGGATCGAGGGTCGGCGCCTCGGTGGTCTGGGGAGCCCCTGCTGGCCGCTCCTATAGCAGGACTCTCCCGCATCTCTTTGTCTCAGGAGCTGGGCCTGGTGGAGCTTCTGGACAAAGAAGAGGTCCAGGCTGGCGTGGCCGCAGCCAACAGGAAGGGAGAGCAGGAGCAAGCCAGTAAGTCCTCCCTAGGTCTGGGGCCTTGTCTGGGTGCACCACGGGCTCTTGCGGGAGCGTCCAGCCCCTCTGCTGGCTCAGGACGGGGCAGTGGGACTGCTGCCCGATTCCCTCTCCTGGCAAGGGACTGCTGCCCTGGGGTAGCCCGCCTGGAGGGACACCGCAGATGAGTTCATTAGGTGAGATGACGGCGTGTCAGGGCTGCGCCAGGCTGGCTCCTGGGCAGGCCGGTTCCCTCCAGGCAGCTCGCCTGCGATTTTGACAGTTTCAACCTGCTTCGATTCCTTCAGCTTCTGCAGCGTAGTGATTTCCCAGGTGAGAGAGGAACTCATATCTCACTCCGTTTCTCTTAAAACGTTATATCCAAATACAGTTCTTTATTAAAAAAAAAAAAATAGCTGTTTCCCTAAGAGGTCCATCCGCGTAGCAAGAGCGAGGAGAGCGCGGGTGGAAGGCAGTAGCCTGTGGACCTTGCCCCGTGCTAATTGCTTCACTCGGTCTTGACTGGCTGGCAGCTCCTGAGCTTGCGCAGTCACCATCTGCCTTTGGCGAACAGTTTAGACCCGGCCCCGGGCGGCTGCTAGAGCTGCTCCTCTTATCAGCTCCTGCGCTGATCTGATCTTATCTCCCTTGCCGACCTGACCTCAGACCTTGACCGCTTCTGCCATTATTCATCTACACTTGAGTCCTAGCCCCTTGGCGGGCCGATACCTCCCCAGAGTCCCTCCCCATCTCGTCTGCTCAGAGCACCAGTCCTTGGTTGTGCTCCCAGCCCCTCCTGTCCCTCCCTCTCCCCCATTTTCACCTGTTAGAAGCGGTGAGAACATCCCCCAGAACTTGCTCCAAGTCTTCAGGGCAGTCTCTCCCAGCCAGTGTCCATCCCTCCCTGTGCTGCCGTGGTGTTGTGCAGAAGTGGGGGATGGCGGTGGCGTGGCCTTCACAGCAGTGCCCTGTGGGTGCTTTTGTGTCTTTATTTTCCCCCAGGAGACTATGTGCCCCCCTATGCCAGTGCCCATGTCTGCTTAGCATTTTATACGGCCCAGGGTTTGTAAACTCACGCTACGTGGATGCGCCGTAGCCCCTTTATAGCTTCCTCTTGCCCTTTGCAACCCAGAGGGCTCCACCTTGGAGCTAACGCCTATTCCTCTGCTGTCATCAAGTAGGTCCTGGAGCCCCTGGACTAACCTCAGCTCACTCGTGCGCCACAGCCACCTGTCAGTCACCTCTGCCACACAGCCACCCTGTGTTACTCGCTGAGCTACTCGGCTCGGCACCTGACAGATTGCTTCTCATGGAGCCTCCTCTTAAAGCAGCCCAGCCCCTTTCCCCCCGAGCATTTAGAAACACATCTTGAACCCAACAGAATGGATTTCAAGAGCACTTACAAGGCCATCTCCCTGCCGTGGTCACCGGCAGAGCCCGGCTGGCCAGGATACCGAGATGGCCCCGAGCACCCGGCCTGTGCGCCTCTCCTCTCCCCCCTGCAGTGCTCCAGGCTGTGCGGCGGATCAACAGAGCCATCCAGAGGGGCGTGGCGGCCGACACTGCGAGGGAGCTGATGTGCCCCGAAGCCCAGCTGCCTCCCGTGTACCCTTGTGCCGCGGCCGTGTACCAGCGGGAGCTGGCGGTGCTCCAGCGGCAGCAGCAGGGCGTGAGCGCCCGGGGCCCGGCTGCGGGAGGGGTGGGCAGTCTGTCCAGAGCACCCTCGGAGGACCCTCAGGGACGCAGGCGAGGGCCGAGGGCTGGGGAAAGGGCGCGCTGTGAGAGTCACTACCTTTGAGCACACACTGCCTTGTACACTCACTCAGTCCTTAGAAACACCCTAGAAGGGAAGGCGGATTGTTTCTGTATCAGAGATGGGGGAACCAAGATTCCGAGGCCAAATAACTTGCCCGGCACTGCTGTGATTGGCAGGTGGGGAAGAGTGAAGCAGAAAACACTTGAAGCCCATGCTGGTAGCCACTCTGCTGCCTCACCACCCCCTGGACCAGCAAGCTGAGACGTCCACTAGGGGAGTCAGGATATACCCAAGGGGCCAGATAGAGACTTAGGGAGACAACAGTAGATGACGTAGATGGAAGAAGACTTCAGACCCCGGAAATGGGGGAAGCAGAGCTAGAGATAAATCTGGGAAGGCTTCCTGGAAGAGAGGGCAATTGCTAGGGAATCATACCCGCAGCAGGGTTTGCAGAGTATCTGCTCTGGGCATGAGCCTCAGGAGAGGCGCAGTCTCAACACACAAGTTGAGCTCCTACAAGGAAGCACAGTGACTAAGACTGGGAACTTTAGAGTCCCAGTCCCTGCCTTGCTAGCTCCGCTAGTTCCTAGCTAGGTGACGCTACCCTACCCCTCAGTTCCTTCCTACCGTGTAATTAATCCCGTCCACGTACACGCTTAGAGAAGGTGAGCGGTAGCACTGTTATTCACGGTGCCTCCAATCAGGGGAGGCAGGAAGGGTGCTCCCGACAGAGGGAACAGCGCAGTAGTATGTGAGAAGGAGCAGGCCCAGCAGAGCAGTGGGCGGGGGCCTCCTGGGTGTGGCAGCGACCGCCGGGCTGCACCTCTGTATGTGCAGGGCCCACTGCGATTCTTGCTGCATAGTTAGGACCAGAAGGGAGCTGGCAGGGCTCACTGGTGGAGTGCGGGCTCTGGGATCAGATAGCTGGAGTTGCCTGGCATAACTGCCGTGGGCCCCTCTGTGCACTGGGCGTGTTCACGGCGCCTCCTTACTGGTATGCGTGGACAATCAGTGGGACCGTGTGCGCAGTGGTTGTACTGGTGCGCATGGACAGTCAGTGGGACCGTGTGCGCAGTGGTTGTACTGGTGTGTGTGGACAGTCATTGGGACTGTGTGCGCAGTGGTTGTACTGGTGTGCGTGGACAGTCAGTGGGACCGTGTGCGCAGTGGTTGTACTGGTGTGCGTGGACAGTCAGTGGAACCGTGTGTGCAGTGGTTGTACTGGTGTGCGTGGACAGTCAGTGGGACCGTGTGCGCAGTGGTTGTACTGGTGTGCGTGGACAGTCAGTGGGACCGTGTGCGCAGTGGTTGTACTGGTGTGCGTGGACAGTCATGGACAGTCAGTGGGACCGTGTGCGCAGTGGTTGTACTGGTGTGCATGGACAGTCATGGACAGTCAGTGGGACCATGTGCGCAGTGGTTGTACTGGTGTGCATGGACAGTCATGGACAGTCAGTGGGACCGTGTGCGCAGTGGTTGTACTTGAGCATTCTGGGACTGACGCTCGTGACTGGCTCGGCCCCAGCGGGGTTGAGGATGGAGACGCTGGGGCGGAACCTTGGGGCAGGACGGCCGCAGGCCTCTGGGCCCTTCGCCAGGCCTCTCGCACGTTGCCCTCCCCCTGTAGGAGCTCAGCCAGGAGGAGCTCTTTGTGGCCGTGGAGATGCTGTCAGCTGTGGTCCTGATCAACCAGGCCCTGGAGGCCAAGGACACCAGCGGCTTCTGGAGCAGTCTGGGGAGCCCCGCCACAGGCCTGGCGGAGGTGGAAGCGGAAAATGCTCAGCGGTGAGAAAGCTTCAGCCACCTGCGGGCGGTGGGGGCGCGGAGGAGTGTGGTCAGGACCCGAGTTCTGGGAGACCAGGCTGCCGTGTGCCGCCCTGCTCCTGGGCCCGGGCCACCCTCCAGGGCTGGGAGTCAGTGGGTCGCTGCTCATTCCTCGTGGCTCTGTCGATCCCTCCTGTGACTGGGTTTGAGTGCCAGGTGCTGGGAACAAAACAGCAGGGAGCAAAACCCTGCTCTCATCAAACTGGCCTGCGAGTGCAGGGGGCTGGAGGTGGGGCCGCGGCGGGTGGACAGTTTCTCTGCTCCCCACAGCCTGGCTACAGAGGCCTCTGAGGTACGGAGTCACTTGAGAGACCTGGCAGGCCTGAGGGATTGCCATGGGACTGCCTGGGGCAGAGGCCCCAGGAAAGAGGGTGTTAGGCGTGCTCCGAGGACTCTGGTGTGGCGGAGTGGAATTAGGAAGGGAGCGGAGTGGGCAGTGAGGCCTCAGCGGCAGAGGCCGGGTCATTTAGCCTCTGGCCTCTACCCGGAGTGAGAAGGGAAGCCAGGGAGGGTGCTGAGCAGGAAGGGAGGCGACCTGACCTACTTGCACAGGACCGGGCCTCGAAGGCCCAAGAGGAGAACCTGCTAGACAGCTACTGCAGTCATCCAGGCACGCGAGGAGCGGGAGTGGCCGGGGGCAGGAGCGGTGGCGGCTGTGTGAAGGAGTCAGATCTGGGATGTGCTTTGAGAGCAGAACTGACGGGATGAACTGCACATGGGCTGTGAGAGAGAACGGGGTCGGGCGTGACACCATGATTCCTGGCGAGATGGGAGAGAGTGGGACCTGCGCGTTGAGCAAGGGGTCGGGAGGGCCGGGTTTGAGGCGCTTATTAGACACTTACATGTGGGGATCCCGGGAGGCCGCTGAGATCCATGGTGGGCTGCAGGGCTGCTCCGGGGAGTCACTGGCAAGTGGTGTTTGAAGCCGCGAGGTTAGGGGAGCTCACCCAGGGTGTGCGTCTGGAGAGAAGCGGTGTGACGGTTGGGCTGCCGGGAAGTTTGGAGCTCAGGGACGAGCCAGCAGAGGAGCCGAGAGAAGAGCAGGGTGAGAGGAGCCCAGAGAGCGTGCTGTCCTGAGAGCAAGCGGGGAAGCAGTGCGCTCTGTCCCCGACGGCTGCTCATCTGCTCGCCTTGCGTTTCCACTCCCTGCTGCCAGGTACTTTGATGCCCTGGTGAAGCTGCGACAGGTGCGTGGAGTGGACGGGGCTTTCCTGAGCTGGAATGACCTGCAGGCCACTGTGAGCCAGGTCAATGCCCAAGTCCAAGAAGAGACCGACCGTGAGTGCAACCCAGGGCTGGGGGGGACGGCCCAGCGCCCGCCCCTTAGCTTTAGGGCTGGGGCCCTGCCCATCTAGCACTGTCTTTTCTCAGAGGTGCTCGCCGTCAGCCTCATCAACGAGGCTCTGGACCAGGACAGCCCTGAGAAGACCCTCTCTGCCCTGCTGCTTCCCACGGCTGGCCTGGACAGCGTTAGCCTTCCTGTGGCCCCTCGGTACCATCTGCTCCTCGTGGCAGCCAAAAGGCAGAAGGCCCAGGTGAGGTTAGGGCTGGCTGCGTCGGTCACCAGAGCAGAAGGAACAGCCCCTGCGGGGAGAGCTGTGCCCAGATGGAACCTGGCCGAGAGCTCCAGTCTGATGGACCCGGTCACTTCCAGGAGAGGAGGGCAGGCAGGGTTCCAGTCTGGTGGAGGAGAGGACGATGCCTCCTGTCACCAGGGCACTGGACAGAGTGTGGGAGGAGCGTGCGTGCAGGAGCCAGAGTATCTGGGCTGGATTTCCTGCTCTCACACTGAGTGACCACATGACCTTCAGCAGATCCCTTGATGTCTTTGAGCTCTGTTTATTTGACTGTAAAATACCGCATACCCTGGCCCTACCCACCTCCCAGAGTGAGGGGGAAAATCCGATGAGTGGACCAATGGGGCAGGTCTTGGAGCCTGAGATGTCCCGAGGATGTGGCAGTGGCGAGTGGCTGAGAGCCGGGGCTCCTGAGCCAGACTGCTTGAGTGTGCGTGCTGGCAGTCCAGCCCTGTGTGTGTCACCTCACCTTTCTGTGCCCCCATTCCCTCGCTGACAAACTTGGGGCAATGATCGTACCTCCTAGTGATGAGTTAGCCGTGATACGGTGTGACAGTAGGGCTGGCTAACTATCGAGTTCTCACTCTGTGCCAAGCATTATTCTATGTGCTTTGCAAATACTAATTCCTAAGAAAATGATGTAGAACAGTGCCTGGAACATAGCACTCAATAAAATGCTATAAGGGCAGGCGTTCGGCAGAGCAGTTAGGGCATCTCCAGTTGCCCGCATCCTATGCTGGAGTGCCTGCTTTGAGTCCTGGCTCTCCCACTTCCTATTCAGTTTCCTGCACCCTGGGAGGCAACAGATGATGGCTCAATACTTGGGTCCCTACTGCCCATGTGGGAGACACAGATGGAGTTCTGGGCTCCCAGCTCCCACCTGGTCCAACTGTAGCTATTGTAGGCATTTGGGGAGAGAACCAGCAGATGGAAGGTGTGTGTGTGTGTCTCCCTCTCTATCTCTCTGCTTTTTGAATAAAATGAAAATAATTATGTAATTTTTTATGGTTTTTTTTTTTTTTTTTTTTTTTTTGACAGGCAGAGTGGACAGTGAGAGAGAGAGACAGAGAGAAAGGTCTTCCTTTGCTGTTGGTTCACCCTCCAGTGGCCGCTGCAGCCGGCGCGCTGTGGCCAGCACACCACGCCTATCCAAAGGCAGGAGCCAGGTGCTTCTCCTGGTCTCCCATGGGGTGCAGGGCCCAAGCACTTGGGCCATCCTCCACTGCACTCCCTGGCCACAGCAGAGAGCTGACCTGGAAGAGGGGCAACCGGGACAGAATCCGGTGCCCCGACCGGGACTAGAACCCAGTGTGCCAGCACCGCAAAGCGGAGGATTAGCCTACTGAGCCGCGGCGCCGGCCTTATGTTAGTTTATAAAGTCTCTTCCTAACGAGAAGAGGTGGGAGGGAGTAGAGTCTGGGATTGAGTGAGATGAGGAGGGGAAGCCTCTGTGTTAGGCCGACAGAGTAGCAGGCAGGGCTTACCTGACCAGTCGTCTCGTGACCTTCCTGCTGCCCTGTGGGGTTGAGAAGTATGGTACAAGAATAGGAAGATGGTGCAGAGTCAGGGTCAGGGTCAGACTCAGCCTGAGAAGATGTGAACTGAGGCATTGGAGAATGGGGGTCAGGCAGCGTGGGCTGTTCATCCCGGATGTAGCTGAAGCACAAGGGCAGGGAATCAAGCTGCTGAGATCTGAGGGTTTAAGAAGCTCTGTCGGCCCTGTGGCCAAGCCGAGCTGATGCTTGGGGCAGGCTCCGGCAGGGTAGGAGAAGCCTGCAGCAGTCCGAGGGGCCACAAGGCCTTGCTTGCCAGGGCACGGGAGGGCCGTGAAGAGCGCTCTCTCTGTGGCTCCCGGTGTCGGCCTGCAATTTGATTGCTCAGGGCAGCCGGGCCGGGGCACCTAGAGCAACCATTCTCGGGACTAGTCTTTTCTCTCTCTCCATTCTCCAGGCAACAGGGGATCCTGGAGCTGTGCTGTGGCTGGAGGAGATCCGCCAAGGAGTGGTCAGAGCCAACCAGGACACAGACACAGCTCAGAGAAGTAAACAGGCGGGGCTGGGAAGGTATGGGGAGGAGACAGGAGCTTAGCTGCAGCTCAGATAATCAAGGGGCCCAGTCACCTCCCTCTCCTGCCCACCTCCGTGGGCAGGCAGGCCAGAATCAGAAACGCACCACGGCTACATTTCCTGGCACTCAGCGGGGCAGGAAGTGCACAGGAGTTGCATGACCATAGTCCACCTGCTGCCTGCTCTGTGCCTTCCTGTAGGCTGTGTGCTCTGTGCCTTCCTGCGAGCAAGTGCAAGCCACGGTAGCCACAAGTCCAGACCATTTCTACTGGTCTCCTGAGTCTGCGTTCTAATCAACCGGCTCTGGCTAGGAAATGTTGTCTTAGGGTAGAAGGAGAGAGATTGGCAGGAGTTTGAAGAAAACAGGCAGCATGCCGGTGGGGGACACGGATGGTGTTGGCTGTCGGAGACGGCAGTCCCTCTGTCCTTTAAAGAGGGACTTTAAGCTTCTGTAGGAGCTGATTCTGCTTCCACCAAGCCCCGGGCCACAGCCACCCTACGGAGCCCTCCCTGACTGTACCCTGGCCCCTGCACACAGATGTGACGTGTGCTTCTGCTTTTCCTGTCTGTACACCCTGGGGTATCCATGCCCTCCAGGGATTGATTGTTGTGTCCACTGAATCCCTGCCCAGGAGACAGCACAGGGCCCATGGGAGGGACTTAGGGAAGGGCTGACTGCTCTGTCCTGATGCCCCACCAGTGGCCCTTGGCGTGGCCGCCATCAATCAAGCCATCAAGGAAGGCAAGGCAGCCCAGACAGAGCGGGTGCTGAGGAACCCCTCGGTGGGCCTCCGTGGGGTAGTTCCAGACTGTGCCGACGGCTACCAGCGAGCCCTTGAAGGTGCCGTGGCAAAGAAGCGGCGTCCAGGTAATGGCCGGCCTTTGCCCTGTCTTCTCTGCCCACCCCGGCCATCCCTCGCCTCCTCCCAACCTTCCCTGCTTACCTGGTTTTGCTCAGGGGACACAGCTTTCTGGGTTCAACATGACATGAAGGATGGCACCGCCTACTACTTCCACCTGCAGACCTTCCAGGGGGCCTGGGAGCGCCCCCCTGACTGCCGCCTCAACACTGCCCACCTGACTCGGGAGGAGATCCAGGTTGGCCGGGCCCCTTGCAAGGGCTGGGGTCATAGACCAGGGGCTGTCTGCAAGAAAGGCTCCCACCCACTCTCCCTCCTGCTTCCACAGTCAGCCGTCACCAAGGTCACGGCCGCCCATGACCGCCAGCAGCTCTGGAAGGCCAACGTGGGCCTCGTCATCCGGCTGCAGGCCCGCCTCCGCGGCTTTCTAGTCCGGCAGAAGTTCGCCGAGCGCTCCCACTTCCTGAGGACCTGGCTCCCGGCAGTCGTCAAGATCCAGGTTGGGTGGCTCTGGCTTTCTGAGTCTCCAGTCTGTCCACCCCGCTGCTTTTTACTGAGCGCCATTGAGATGATCTTTCTGAGCAGTGGTGGTGAAGAGCATGGATTCTGGAGCCAGACTACCTAGGTTTGAATCCCAGCGCTGCCGCCTATTATCCTGGGTGACCTTGGCACATTTCTCTCTCCCTCCCTGTTTCCGCATCTGAAAACTAGGGATAGAACTAGCACCCACCCTCTGGGATTGCTATGAGGATTAAGTGAGATAATAACATCTACGGGGTTTCTACACTGTCTGGCAGGTGGGCGAGAAGACGGAACGAGTGCTGGTTATTGTCGCCATCGTCCTCTCTATCCAGCGAGCATGAGAGCTGCCTCGTAGCTTCCACAAAGCCGGGGTGGGGTGGGGTGTGTGTGAAATAAAACTTAGTGAGACCCCAGGGTTTAGACACCGGGAGGACTTCCGGACTAGGAGTCATGAAGAGGTGTCAGTGGCTGAACAGGAAAGGCTGGAGTACCGCTTAGGGAAGGAAGAGTCTGCTACCCTCCCTCGCCTACCTGCCCTGTCCGCGTTTTTTTCCTTCCAACCTGGGGGTGGTCCAGTGAGGCTTTGGAGGTGGGCCCACAAGTAAGTGGGACAAGAGGCAGCCAGGGAGCTTCCTGGGGGCACTGTGCACACCAGGAATGGTGGGAGTTGAACGGAGGTGGTCTGGAGGGCTTCATGGAGATATTAGCGATGTGAAGACACTTGAGTTAATAGGCATCTGCGAGGGCCCAGAACCTGCGGAGCGCGCCACTCGGCACCGGGCAATGTTGACAGATGAGTGTGAGACCCACAGGCGAGGGCATCTCTCCCCTTGCAGGAGCTGGGGCAGAATCGCTGCTAGATTCTGTGTAGGTAGGGACACGACGACAGTACCAGAGAACCCACGGTTGACAGCTGTACAGGCAGAGAGGCAAGCGGCCCTTGATGAAGACCTAGGGCAGGGTGGGGGGGTGGTAACTGAGAGCTCAGGCTTGGGAACCAGAGGCTAGAGTTTGTCTCTCGGTCCTACAGCTTCTGGGCCACATGAGCTCGGGCACCCCTCTGCTGTACTCGGTTCCCTTAGTCGTGTTCCCACGTGGAGTGTGCGGATTAAGTAGGATAATTATACTTAGCACTTAGTGTGGTAAGTGCTCCACTGGTGGTGGCCATTATGAGATGTTATTTTCAGGGCATTGGTCCCAGAAGGCCACACAGAACTTTCGTGATCTGCATGTAGTGGTCTGAGTCACGGGGCTGCTCCCTTGTGAGCCCAGGCAGGAATTTCACAGCAGCAGTGGGAAGGACATGGAAAGGGAGAAGGGAGCTGTGTGGGTCTGCCTGGGTGCTGGGACACAGAGACAGAGATAGCCCAGAGCCCCAGACCACTTGCCCTCCAGCCAAGCAAAGCGAGACTCAGAAGGGGGCTGCCCACACATGCTGAGACCTTCATCTCTCCTGAACGGTGCAATGTCAGCCAGAACCACCACCAGGGTCCTGAATTCTGGCCACTCCAGCCTGGGACACCTTTTCCCAGCAGCCTCTGGGGCTGAAGAAGACCCTGGTTGCCTCTTTGTCTCCCATGACTGCAGGCTCACTGGCGGGGTCACAGACAGCGCAGGAGTTACCTGAAGAGGCTGCAGTATCTAAAAGCAAACGTGGATGCCGTGATCAAGGTAGAGGCAGCGGTTTGGGCGGGTTGCTGTGTGTGCAACTCAAGGGGCCCTCTGAGAACCTCCTCCTGCCCCATGGGGTTGGCCCAACCGGCCTGGGTCCAAGGGGGGGCCTCCAGCCTGGAGCTCTGAGTCAGTGTCTCTCTCCCAGATCCAGGCCTGGGCCCGGATGTGGGCAGCTCGGAGGCAATACCTGAGGCGTCTGCGCTACTTCCAGAAGCATGTGAGTGTCGCCCTGCACCCCTGCCTTCACCCGTGAGAGCTTGGGCAGCTGGCAACCCCTTCCCTGCGCGCGTGTGTGGCAGGTTGACTCCGTCGTGAAGATCCAGGCATTTTTCCGTGCCCGGAAAGCCCGGGATGACTACAGGATGTTAGGTGAGCCCCCAGCCTAGCCTTCCCAAGTCTGATGGGAGAGTTAGGACCCACAATGCCAGGCAGCTCTGGATGTCCCTCTTGGAGCCACTCAGCAGGTGAGAGGAAGGCAGTCGGGAGGTGTCTGGGCCGCAGCATGGACATGAGTTGTACAAAAGCCCCCCGGCCATGGCAACAGCAGCCTTGTCACGGGGAGAGCTCTCCAGCCAGGGTGAGCTGCACCAGACTCAGGTAATCTCCCCGTTGCTGCCACTAAAGAAGAAAGGGGTCTTTCTGCCCAGGTTCCACCCTTCTCCCACTGTGCCCTCATCCTGGCGCCCGCAAGGCCTGGCAAGGCACGCAGTCCTGTCCGCACTCCTGGGGCACTGGAGGGGATGCTGTCTTCCAGCCCCACCCTGCCCACAGTTGGGCGAGAGTGCGGAGCCTTCAAGATGTCCTCCCTGGCTGCTCTTGGCGCCTGTCCTTCAAGTCCAGGAGCCCAGCTGGGGGTGAGGGGACCCCTTTTGGTGGTAGAAATGAGGGGTCCATTTCCATGTTCACCTCTGGCCCCTGGCTTCCTCTAGCCTAGGCCTTCTGCTTTCTGGACTGTGGGCCACATGCTTGGGATTCAGGGCAGCTGTCCCGTTCAGGAGTCAGCTCCTGGTCCTACCCATGGGGCCTTCACCTGTCCCTCTGTACCGAGACGGCTGGCCTCTCCCCCCTCTCCTCCGCTCCTGCCTGCCCTTTCTCTTGCTGTTACACTCATGCCACCGTCTGGGCGCCCCTCGTCTCCTTTTTCTTCTCAGCAGTTTATGGTTTTGCTGAAAGCACTTTTTCTTGCCAGCTCTGTTCCCCAACTTCATTAACCCCCAAATTCCGCGTGGCCTGGCAAGTTGCTTGACCCCTCTGTTGCTTCCGTTTTCTTCTTCATACACGGACCTCCTTGTAAGACCTGTTGTGCAGGCCTGTCCCGAGGGCAGATGGATAAATATTTCACCACATCCGAGCGGCCGTCCACTGTCTCGGATCCCCCTGTTTCTCACTCCTCGAAGATCGGGCCCCACCCTGTAGCCGGATTAATCCACCAAATTTGTGATCTCATCCCTCTGTCCTGACTCTTTCCCCTGCCCCGAGGACGACGTCCGGTCTCCTAACCACGGCTTCCACGTCTTGCCGTGACCTGGCCTCCTCTGCCCCCACAGCTGCCTGACCCCGGCCCTCACTGCTGCACCCTCTGTGCTGCACTCCAGATGCCAGGTCCTTCCGCACTTCCCGGGGAGCCACGCTCACCCTCTGTCACCTCCTTTTCACAGACAGCAGGCGGGGCTCCTCGGGAAGTGTCTCTTCACTTCCCAGGTTGCCCCGGTGGCCTGCTTTTGTTTTCCCAGAGATCCTTGTGCTCACCTGCCCTGATCACCAGCCACCCTGTTGTGAGTGCAGTGTGGTTTCCCTTCTAGAGTGCCTTTAAGGACAAGGCCTAGTTTTATTCCTCTTGCAAATCTGACTTCTCCATTTATTACTAGCTGTATGACCTAAGGAAAGTTACTTAGCCTCTCTGTGCCTCGGTAATCTCACCAGGAAGATGGATGGTTCCAGCCTACTGACCTCACTGGGCTGTTTTGTGTATGTGAGGCACTTAGCGCCTGTCCCGTAGTCAATATTATGAGTGTTAGTTATTGTTTTGAATTGTTGTTCCCTGTAGCTTAGCTCAGAGGACTTTTTTGTTTGTTTTTTTGCCCAAATACCAATTCGAAAGGTGATTCAAGGAGAGTCACCATGTGTTTCTGCCCTCCCCTGTAATTATGAGGCCAGCTGACCTTGACCACACTGTCTGCCTGTACTTCCCCGTATGCCCAGACATTCCTGGCAGAGGAGCATTGTGGGGAGCAGGCGGGGCCAAGGGGGGGCTGAGGGGTGGGAACGGGTTGGCCTAGCTGGAGCGGGGAGTCAATCCCATAGACTAGGGAGGCTTATCAGAGGAAGCTGGGGCTCTGGCTTCGGTCAGAGGGAGCTCATGGGAGAGGCCCAGGGTGCAGGTGCATCGAGAGGCAGGAGAAGAGCAGCTCCATGTCTTCCCCAGTTATAAGACAAGGCGCTCAGGTCAGGCCTGGCTCCACCAGCCCTCCTACTGCAAGCAGGACTAGGGCTGGGGACCTGCTGACCTCAAGCAGGGTGGGGACTAAGGGTGGGCCAACTCTCGGGTAGGGGGCTGGCCAAGAGGCCCCTGATGAGACCTGCCTGATCCTGACGCCTCCTCCCCTCCTGCCAGTACACGCAGCCCACCCTCCTCTCAGTGTGGTCCGCAGATTTGCCCACCTCTTGAATCAAAGCCAGCAGGACTTCTCGGCTGAGGCGGAGCTGCTGCAGCTCCAGGAGGAGGTGGTCAGGAAGATCCGGTCCAATCAGCAGCTGGAGCAGGACCTCAACCTCATGGACATCAAGATTGGCCTGCTGGTGAGGAACCGGATCACGCTGCAGGTGAGGCCCTGGCCGCCCTCCCCAGGCCCAGCCGCTTCTGGGGAGGTGCTGCTGACGTTCTCTGCGAGCTAATCGCATCTTTTTAAAATCTGTGGATTTCGTTACCTGGCTTAGGGCTGTGTTCCAGGACCCTCTCCCTGTAGCAGACAGTTTGCTGGGGACACGTGATAGAGTGGGAAGAGGAGCGGGTCATGGAGCTACACTGCCAGCAACGGAGCTGTGGGTGGTCCTTTAACCTCCGCGGCTGTTTCCTCATTAGTAAGCTGGGAACAGTGAGGACGACTGCCTCCCCAGGCCAGATGTGGAGGTAGACGTGAAAGCTCCTTACACAGATACGCGGTGACAGGTGATGTCTCCACCTCACAGTTATACAACAGTCTAAAAAGAAGCGCAAAAAAATGTAGACATGATGCCTTTGCCTAGCAACCCAGGTCTCTTTGGGGATCACCCCATGAGAGCAGGGGTGCCAGATAGAGTCTCAGGACAGTAGCAGGGCCCTCCCTGGCCTCAGAACCTCTCGTCTCCCCTGGCTCATGCCTGCATCTTAAACAGAAGAAAGCCTGGCTCCTCCAGGTACTGATTCCAGACCATATGCTCCAGCTCGTGGCCTGGGCTGGTTGTATCACCTGCTCCCCCACCCCTGCAGGAGGTGGTCTCCCACTGCAAGAAGCTGACCAAGAAGAATAAGGAGCAGCTGTCGGATATGATGGTTCTGGACAAGCAGAAGGGATTAAAGTCGCTGAGCAAAGAGAAACGGCAGAAACTAGAAGCTTACCAACACCTCTTCTACCTGCTCCAGGTGAGCAGAGGGCTTTGCAAGGAGAAGTCTCTGCGGGACCCTGAGACTTTCTTGTCTGTGCCTTGGCCTCCATGTCCTTTCCTGTAATCACAATGCCTGTCACCAGGGCAAGAGGCAGCCTCTTCCCCTCTTTGTCCAGAATGTTCCCAGTTCCCTGAGAGTATGGTAGTGCCTCCCCTGTCCCATGTCTCCTTGAGGAAAGCTGTCACTGAGCCGATCGCCAGTCCTTGGAGTGTATTACCAGCCATTCCCATCTCCCCTGTTGCTTACAGACCCAGCCCATCTACCTGGCCAAGCTGATCTTTCAGATGCCACAGAACAGAACCACCAAGTTCATGGAGGCGGTGATTTTCAGCCTGTACAACTATGCGTCCAACCGCCGAGAGGCCTATCTCCTGCTCCAGCTCTTCAAGACGGCGCTCCAGGAGGAAATCAAGTAGGTTGTGCAGACACAGAGGACTGGGGAGAGAGTGAGTTCAGAGATGCCCCTGTGGGCTCCATCATGAGGCGACAACCTATTGAGGTTTTGGGGAGAGACTGTAAGACATGACCTGAGACAGCAGACTTGGGGTGACATGGGTTGATGCGTTAGCACAAAGGATGAGGTGGAGGTACCAGGACATTCCTGTAAGAGGGGAACACCAGAGTAGGCTTTGAGGAGTCAGATCTCAGAAAGAGCGAGCAGCCTGGCCTGATCAATGACCGCTCGAACCGCAGGTCCAAGGTGGAGCAGCCCCAGGATGTGGTGACTGGCAACCCGACGGTCGTGAGGCTGGTGGTGAGATTCTACCGTAACGAGCGGGGACAGAGCGCCCTGCGGGAGATCCTGGGCAAGGTCATCCAGGACGTGCTGGAGGACAAGACACTCAGCGTCCACACAGACCCTGTCCACCTCTACAAGACCTGGATCAACCAGACAGAGGCCCAGACAGGGCAGCGCAGGTGAGCACACGGGCGAAAGGAGCACGCTCTTCCGTCAGCTTTTCTTGGGCCTCGCTGGGAAATCTGGGGTGTGTTTGAAGGTGACATATAAATGAGCATGCTGATTTATGCAAACAAGCCCTATAGGAGTAAATAAGGTAGTCTTTTAGACTCCTTCTAGTAATTAACATGGAACCGATGTAAATGACTCCAGACCCAGCAGGCTTGACATAGGATGAGCACAGATGAATATGCAAATGTGTTTAATTGCTGTGTCAGGGCTTGCAAAGGATATGTCAGGTTTGCTGGGACCTGGGATATAGACTCGTTATTGATAGGGGAGCAGATGAATTTTCAGATCTAAAGATGAGCAGGCAAATGAGATGCTGGAGAGGGCGGCTGGCCTGGAAGATCAGGAGCATTACTCAGGTTCGCGGGTACCAGGAAATGTAGCCCCTGAGGACAGCAGGCCGTCCTGGTGATGCTCTGCGTGGAACAGGAGTGACGTGGGGGCACCACGTGGCCCTGGCACAGCCCTCCCTAATGTCCCAGTTGCCGAAGGCTATGAGAGTACTTCAGAAAGTTCATGGAGGGGGGGTGTTTGGCCCAGGGGTTGACACTGCTCCGGATGGGCACGTCCCACATCCGAGTGCCTGGGTTCAAGTTCTGGTTCTGCTCCAGATTCTAGCTCCCTGCTAAATGTACACCCTGGGAAGCAGGAAGTGATGACTCAAGTACTTGGCTCCCTGCTACCCATGTGGGAGACCTGGGTTGAGTTCTGGACTCCTGGCCAAAGCCAAGAGCTTTTAGGGAATGGGTCAGTAGACAGGAGCTGTCTGTTTTTCTTTCTCTGTCTGCCTCTCTGTCTTTCTCCCTCTCAGGTAAGTTTTGTATTTTTTAAATTTTTTTAAGTTCATGGGAAGAATTAAAAGTATGAATTTATTTTGGAACAAAAATTTTGTCGAAAATAATTTGTATGTCCACAATATATAAAAAATGTGTCTTGTGAAAAAATTATGGATGTATCTCAATCCCTTTTGCACCCAAAAAAACTCTTTTTTGTTGTTGTTAAAAGTATATTATTTATTTGAAAGGCAGAGTTGCAGAGAGAGAGGGAGAGAGACAGCAAAACAGAGAGATCTTCCATCTGCTGGTTCACTCCTCAAATGGCTGCAATGGCCGGGGCTGGGCCAAGCCAAAGCCAGGAGTCAGGAGCCTCGAGCCTCATCCAGGTCTCCCACATGGGTAGCAGGGGCCTGAGTACTTGGGCCACTTGCTGCTGCCTTCCCAGGCACATTAGCAGGAAGCTAGATCCGAAATGGAGCAGAGCCTGCCGTGGCACAGCAGGTTAAGCTGCCATCTTGCAGTGCCAGCAGCATCTTATATGGGTGCTTGTTCGAGTTCTGGCTGCTCTACTTCTGATCCAGCTCCCTGCCAATGTGCCTGGAAAATCAACAGAAGATGGCCCAAGTGCTTGGGCCCCTGCACCCACTTAGGAGACCTGGAAGAAATTCCTGGTTCCTGGCTTCAGACTGGCCCAGCTCCAGCTGTTGTGCCCATTTGGGGAACTAGCAGATGGAAGATCTCTCTCTCTGTCTCTTTTCTCTGTAGACGCTGCCTTTCAAATAAATAAATAAATCTATAAAAAAAAAAAAAAAAGGAACAGCCGGAACTCAACTGTGGGATGCCAGCATCACAGGGAGAGGCTAAGACAGAGAGACAGAGATATCTTCCATCTTCTGTTCACTCCCAGACGGCTACAATGGCCAGGGCTGGGCCAGACTGAAGCCAGGAGCCAGGATCTTAATCCAGGTCTCCCATGTGAGTGCAGAGGCCCAAGGATTTGGGTCATCTTCCACTGCTTTCCCAGGCACGTTAGCAGGGAGCTGGATCAGAAGTGGAGCAGCTGGCACTTGAACCAGTGCCCATGTGGGATATCAGTGCTGCAAGCAGCAGCTTCCCTTCTATGCCAAAGCGCCAGTCCCTAACTCATACTTTTTTTTTTTTTTTTTAAAGATTTGTTTATTTATTTGAGAGGCAGAGTTACAGACAGCAAGAGGGAAAAACAGAGAGAGAGAGGTCTTCCATCCTCTGGCTCACTCCCCAAACGGCCACAATGGCCAGAGCCGTGACGATCCGAAGCCAGGAGCCAGGAGCCTCCTCTGGGTCTCCCACGTGGGTACAGGGGCCCAAGCACCTGGGCCATCCTCCACTGCTTTCCCAGGCCACAGCAGAGAGCTGGACTGGAAGAGGAGCAGCTGGGACTAGAACCCGGTGCCCATATGGGATGCCTGCGCCGCAGTCAGAGACTTAACCCACTGTGCCACAGTGCCGCCCCCTAACTCACTTTTAATTTCATTTTTCCACAAGCTTTAAAAGTACCCCCGCATGTGCAGGGCAGGCCTTGGTTTGCTCCAGCTTCCCTGGGAGTCAGCATGGACTGCACCTCTGGATTCCTTCCTGCACACTCCCAGTCCCCTGTGGTTCCCCGGCTCTTTCTTCTTCATCAGCTCCTCACATCCCTCAGCCCTCTCTGAGTCCCTTCTTGTTTTTGGCCCTTTCCCATCCCTGCTGGGATGCCCTGAGCCTGCCTGTGGGAGATCCTGTTGCTGGGTAGAGTTTAACAGCAGCAGGGGGTGGGGCCAGCATAGTGGGTTAAGCCAACACCTACAACACCATCCCATATGGACACTTGTTTGTGTACTGGGTACTCCACTTCCAATCCAGTTCCCTGATAATTTGGTTGGGAAAGCAGTGGAAGATGGCCCAAGTCCTTGGGTCCCTGCACCCATGTGGGAGACCCGGAAGAAGCTCCTGGCTCCTGACTTCGGCCTGGCCCAGCAATGGCCTTGCAACCATTTGGGGAGTGAACCAGTGGGTGGAAGATACCTCTCTCTCTGTGTGTGTGTGTGTGTGTGTGTGTGTCTATTTCTCTTTCTCTCTCTGTAACTCTGTCTTTCAAATAAATAACTAAAACTTTAAAAGAAAAGACAAGTTTAACATGGAAGGCCTCAGGAAAGGGAGGCCATGAGAAAGGGCCCGGCTTTACGTTGTCTTTCCCTGTCCACTGTCCACAGCCAACTCCCTTATGACGTCACCCCTGAGCAGGCCTTGAGCCACCCTGAGGTCCAGAGACGACTGGACATCTCCCTGCGCAACCTCCTGGCCATGACTGATAAGTTCCTGGCAGCCATCATCTCATCAGTGGACCAAATTCCGTATGTGCCACAACCCCATGCCAACCTCAGCACCAATCTCAGGCGCGCTGGGCCATGCTGGGGAGAGCAGGGTGGCTGTTCAGGAGACAGGAAGGGGAGAGGAGCGGGGTCCTCAGAGGGGTTCCAGGAGATGCACAGGGACTGCTCGAAGCTGCTGCTAGAGAGCCGAGCTGGAACACAGCTCGCAGGTCTGTGTGGGCCCTCACTGGAGCCAGAGGAGAGGGCCTCGCGTGGTTGTTATTAAACAAGAAGGCATGTTTGTAGTTCTCCTCTTTCTTAAAATTTAGTCAACCAATGGTTTTTACAAAGCAAATGGGTGGGGGTGGGCATTTGACCCAGCAGTTAAAATCCCATCATCCCGTGGTGGAGTAACTGGGCTCGATACACAGCTTCGCCCCGATTCCGGCTTCCCACAGAACCTGGGAGGCAGTGGCGATGGTGCAAGTAACTGGGTTCTTGGGACGGCCCCACTGGAGCCCGGATTGAGTTCCTGGCTCTGACTTCGTCCCCAGCGAGGGGCTGGTGCAGGCATCTGGGAGCAAGCCAACCACTGGGAGGCAGACAAAACTGGACCAGGCGTCAGAGAGGAAGGGCCACAAAGAGAGGTGCACTTCTGTCTCTGGAACTCCAGCAGATGGAAGTGGCTTTAGGTGAATGCGATGAGATGTGCAGGCGGCGCCTCCGTGACAGGACTCCTGCTGACTCAGGCAGCACCCGTGCCCCCTCCACACACACAGTTCCGCTTGGTCCTCGCAAAACCCCTGTGAGCCAAAGAGGCAGGGATGATGGTTCCTGTGCGCCAGGCCGGGGAGCACACAAAGGGGAGGACATCGCCTACAGTGCTATCGCTGGCTGGAGCTTCGCTCAGCCCATTGACCTCCCCCAGCCCTGCCCTAGCCCAGAACAGGCCCCTCCCAGGAGCTCTGGTGTAGCTGGCAAGCTCAGCTGCCTCAGAGCCCCCTGGGCTGTCCTGGGGCAAGGTTTGGCCATCAGATACCCAGGTACAGGCTGCAGGTGCCTCCGGGGGTGAAGATGGGTGGGTCTTGGGATGTAAGGTGTCCTCCAGGGCAGACAGGAGGGTCTCAAAGAAGAAGCTCTTGGGCCAAGTTGGAGGGTGCGTGAGAGCTTTAGTAGACGGTGGCTCCTGATCGTGGGTGTTGATGCAAGGGCAGGAGGGAGGGGACAGGCCCCAAGGTCTCAGCAGCGAGATGGCTTTGGGCAAGCAGAGCCATTGCACACCTACTGCTCTGTCCCCAGGTATGGGATGCGATATGTGGCCAAAGTTCTGAAGACAACTCTGGCAGAGAAGTTCCCGGATGCCACAGAGACCGAAGTCTATAAGGTAAGCGTCATTTCTCCTCCTGCCTCCGGAGCCTTCCCTGGCCTTGCTGGTGCCTGTGATTTCGACACTGAGACAGAAGGGCTGGAAAAATCCACCCTGTAGACCGCACCTGGCTCGCCAGCAGGGTGTCGGGTGGCAGATGGGAAGGCCGGGGCATGAGCAGAGAGTGACAACCCCGGGCTTCCTGTCGGGAGATCTGGGTTCTAGGCCCAGTGCTCGCTCAAGTTTGCCGTGTGACCTTGAGCACTTGGTGCACCTGCTCTGGGTCTGTTTTGTCTTCTGTAAAGTGAAGGGGTCAGCCCAAGGCAGCTGGGCATGCAGGGCTGGGGCTGGCAAGGGGGCCTCCGGGCGCCTCTGGGAGAGTCTCTTTGCCTTCAGGTGGTGGGGAACCTCCTGTACTACCGCTTCCTGAACCCCGCTGTGGTGGCCCCTGATGCCTTCGACATTGTGGCCATGGCCGCAGGCGGTGCCCTGGCTGCCCCCCAGCGCCACGCCCTGGGGGCTGTGGCTCAGCTCCTGCAGCACGCGGCAGCCGGCAAGGCCTTCTCCGGGGAGAATGGGCACCTGAGGGTCCTGAACGACTATCTGGAGGAGACGCACCACAAGTTCAGGTCTGGGGGATGGCGCCCGCCCCTCCCATCCCTCTCTCTCCTCGCCTTTCACATCCCACCTCTCCCCCGGAACCCGTGAGGAAGGGAGGGTGTAGTGGCAGGCTGGGAGTCAGGACCCCCGTGGAGAGACAAGAGGCCTATTAGAGAAGGTTGGCTCCATGGCCCCCTGGGACAGAGGGTGGGAGCTGAGCCTGGAGTGTCAGCATTGGCTTGAGCAGCCTCATCAGAGCCAGGAGGGGTGATTGGGACAGAAGACAGGCGGCTGCCAGTGTTCCCCGCTCGCTCATATCCCCACCCCCACCCCTACCCCGGAGATAGGAAGTTCGTGTGCAGAGCCTGCCAGGTGCCTGAGCCAGAGGAGCGCTTTGCGATGGACGAGTACTCAGACATGGTGGCTGTGGCCAAGCCCGTGGTGTACATCACCGTGGGGGAGCTGGTCAACACGCACAGGGTGAGGGGCTGCCGCCTGGAGGGTGGCCAGGGGTCCGGAAGCCCGTGCCGGGGGTGGGGAAGGCCCAGCTCAGACCGTCTTGCCTCCTGCAGCTGTTGCTGGAGCACCAGGACTGGATCGCCCCTGACCACCGGGACCCCCTGCACGAGCTCCTAGAGGACCTTGGGGAGCTGCCCACTGTCCCTGACCTCATCGGTGCGTGTCCTGCTGGGTAGCCAGGACCAGCCGGGGCCCGCAGGGACGGAGGGTCAGGCAGGCGGGCAGGCTTACCCACATGGTGGGCAGCTAGTTGCATGTTCCCCCTCTCCTCTCCTGCCGGCCCTGAGAGGGACACAGGGACAGACATAGAGGGAGGGACCCAGCACCAGTAGGTCAGTGAGACACGATGGGCTCAGGGCCTGTGCGGGTCTCAGTAGGTCCCTCTGATGAGGAGAATCTCAGGGCTGTGGAATGAGAGGCAGCCTGCCTGCGGGGCTGGGAGGGCAGAGTGGAGGTGGTGAGGGGAGAGCGCCAGGGGCTCCGGCCTGGGGAGGCACGCCCTCAGGAACCCGGGGTGTGCTCTGGCTGAGGGCAGTGCAGGACCACTGGGCACCGTGGGCACATGGGATGCACAGAGCTGCACACCGACCACGACGTGGATGTGTGTGCAACAGCCGTGTGCACCTGGGCCTGTCTCACTCCTCACCTCACCTCAGGGGAGAACATAGCTGCAGATGGACACATGGACCTGAGCAAGCTCGAAGTGTCCCTGTCACTCACCAACAAGTTTGAAGGGCTGGAGGCGGATGCCGACGATACCAGCGCCCGGAGTCTGCTTCTGAGGTGGGTGAGGCTGGCCTCTGAGTCCCGCAACCAAGTGGCCCTCCTCTCAGGCCACTCCTTCCTGGGCTCCCTTGCCCTTCCGGAAGTTCCCCTGGGACCCAACTTGCCTGCCTCCTTTCGCCGCCACCTCGGCTCCTTCCTTCCGACAACCTCAGCTGTTTGCGTGTTGTCGTGGCTGACGGCAGAGGGACGCTTACCACGTCGCCAGCAACAGTGCTGGCTGTTGCCAGGCCGCCTAGCAGAAGCAGCCTTACGTGTTAGCCCACGGCAGGAGCCAGCCGGGAGGTGGGTGGCCTTTCGGCCTTCACTGTGAGGGGGACGAGCTCGGGAGGCGTGTGACTTGTCACAGTCCCGTGGCCAGCGGGTCATGGACTTCTGTTCTGACTGCCCGCTCCTCTGGAGTGTGAAGATCAGGAGAGGGGCACAGCGATGTTCTTCCCCAGCTCTGCGAGAGGGAGGGAGGCCAGGCTGCTCGTCTGGGCAGAAAAGAGCCAACGCGGCGACCCCCGGCTCACCCATTTGTCAGCAAGTGAGCAGGCCTGGGGCTTTGCCCTGCCATGCAAGGCCCTAGAGCTTAGGGCAAACAGACAGAGAGCCACCAGAGGGAGGGGGCATGGGGTGGACTGAGAACTCAGGAGAAGGGAAGAGGACACGGGTCCCTCAACCAAAGGGAAGTGGTTTGGAAGGTCGTTTGTGGGGAGGGTGTTCTGGGCAGCAACACCGCCACTCACGCTCTCTCCTTAGCTCCCAAGGGTCCCTGGCAGCCATGTGTGGGACAGGGTCCGCTTACTCTCCGCTGTCTCCCGTCACTGCCCTCCTCCTGTAGCACCAAGCAGATGCTGGCCGATATCATCCAGTTCCACCCCGGGGACTCCCTCACGGAGATCCTGTCCCTCTCGGCCTCCAGAGAGCAGGTGAGCAGCCAGGGCAGCCTCGGGTTCTGTCTCACTCGTGCCCCTCCTCACCCCCCAGCACTGCTCTTCCCTCCCCTGGGCCCCTGCCCAGACTGCCTACCAGCAGTGAGCGCTCCGGAGGCCCAAAGCCTTTGCCCTTGACCCCTGGAGGCCCACAGGCCGAGGGGAACAGCCATAGCCTTGAGAAGCTGCAGGCTGCGGTGTCCGGGGAGGCCCCTTCCTCCCCACTCCCTGCGCTGGGGCTGTGGGGGACGAGCCAACAGGCAGGTGGAAGGGCTGTGCTCAGGGAATAGAGCGCTTGGCTTGAAGGCCCAGGGGAAGGAAGGTGGGAAGCGAGGGGCGAGAAGCCTGCTGGCCAAGAAGCTCAGCCAGGAGCTTCCCAGGGAAAGGTGGCGAGGGCTGCAGACGCATCCCAGGCTCCGTTGTGGGGAGGTCACGGCCAGCGTCTGTGCGGATCCATAGAGCTGGAGCTTCCGTTCGGGGCTCCTCGGAGCCACTGCATGTGACCATCCCTGAGGCCCTTCCCTGTGCCACACCTCCTTGTTCTCCACCAGCTACACTCACACCCTGCCCCCACTTCCCTGGTGACACCGTGAGAAATGCACCTGGGGCCTGGTAGGCAGACGTAAGGCCTGGTGGACCCCTCCAGCCTCTCTGCCCCCCAGGAAGTGGCCCACAAGCGGCTGATGTGCCGGCGCCAGGCCTGTGAGGCCCAGACCCCAGAGCCGCTGCGACGACACCGCTCGCTGACAGCTCACTCCCTCCTGCCGCTGGCAGAGAAGCAACGGCGCGTCCTGCGGAACCTGCGCCGCCTCGAGGGCCTGGGCCTGGTCAGCGCCCGTGACGGCTACCAGGGGCTAGTGGACGAACTGGCCAAGGTGACGATCCAGGCCTGCGTGTGCGTGTGCATGTGGCGGGAAGGTGTGCCTTGAAGGCCTGGGCGGGGTCCCTGAGATTGTCCTCCTAGGAAAAGCAGCCTCACAATCCGCTTCCTGCCAGGAAGGGCCCACTCATGCCCCCTCCTCCCCCACCCCCCAATCCCAGGACATCCGCAACCAGCGCAGGCACCGGCAGCGGCGGAAGGCAGAGCTGCTGAAGCTTCAGGCCACCATCCAGGGCCTAAACGCCAAGACCACCTTCTATGAGGAGCAGGGCGACTACTACAGCCAGTACATCCAGGCCTGCCTGGGCCACCTGGCCCCCAGCTCCAAGTGGGTGCCGGCCTCAAGGGCCCCTCCCCCTGCCCACGTCAACTGGCGTCCCACTGCGTCCTGGCTTTGAAAGGGGATTCTCACCCCTGGCATGGCACAGCCGCTCCTGGCTCTGGCCTTGGAGTCTCCCTCTCAAAGCCCTGGGTGCAAGGGCAACCCCTGTCCCCTGCCCTCCACCCCTGAGATGTCCCTGGGGTCCAGCGTCCTCCGTGCCAGCCACGGAGAGCAAGGGTCTTTGGCAGAGGGGAGTTTGTGGGCGGAGTTCTCTGAGGGTCTTCTTTCAATCAGGAGTGCTGGCAAGGGGAAGAAGCAGCCATCTCTCCATTACACGGCAGCCCAGCTCCTGGAGAAGGGGGTGCTGGTGGAAATTGAAGATCTGCCCGCCTCTCAGTACGTGTCTCCGGGGGACAGGAGCTCAGCCCCTTCCTGTCCCCTGGGTGGGCGCCAGGTAGAGGGAGGGCGGAACTCAGTCCTGGCTGGAAGGTGCCGCTAGAATGCTGGCGGAGACAGAGCATCCCAGGCAGACAGTTAGGGACGGCCAACGAGGCCTAGCACAGTCCTAGGTACCCCAAAGCAGAGGATGCTGGGAAATCTGCCAGGAGGCGGGAGCTGCTGGGCAAGTAGAAGAGGTGATGTGAGCAGACGTGAAACTGGGAGGAAACAGAGGGCTGGGCCCCCCCCAGGAGCAACCAACAGAGGGAAAGCCTGGGCTCCGGGTGGCACGCCCTGCTGCCCGGAATGAGGGGCCCTGGAGAGGGGTGAGGGCTCCCTGTTTCGAATCCTGTTCCCAACAGCTTCAGAAACGTCATCTTTGACATCACGCCTGGAGATGAGGCCGGGAAGTTTGAAGTGAGCGCCAAGTTCCTGGGTGTGGACATGGAGCGGTTCCAGCTGCACTACCAGGTAGAGGCCCCTCCCGTGGTGCTGGGCTGAAGACAGTGGCAAGGCTGCAGCTCCGTTCCCCGCCCCGTCCGCGCTGTCCTTCCTGGAGGGGAGAGTGGGGTCTGTGCTGCCCAAACCCTGACAAGCGAGCGTCGGTGAGGGGCCGACGGGGCAGGGTTAACACGTGAAGCCTGGCGCACGCTGGGGCCTCCCGTGAGACCCCCTTAGTCCTGCCCACGCACTGAGCCACACCCCTCTTTGATAGGCTCTGGGGTGAAAAGGTTAAGAAGCCAGCCCACGGGGCGCCCGGAGCGGCTCAGTGACAGCGAGGCTGGACTTCAGGGAGGCAGTGATGTTAAATCCCAGTCTCTCTGCTGCTTTGGGTTTCTGAGTGAGGAAAACTGATTCCAAGGCTGGCTCTGACATTTCATCAGGTCACGGTCCCTGGCCCTCGGCCTCGCCGGCCTTGGGGCTGAAGTGGGTTTCACTGCCCTGGCTCGGTGGCCTGGAAGGCCCCGTGGTGCTGGTGTTCTGTGTGTCTACGCAGCAGCCAGCCACCGCTCACCTCCCCTCCCTGCCTCCTCCCTCCTAGGACCTCCTGCAGCTCCAGTATGAGGGTGTGGCTATCATGAAACTCTTTAACAAGGCCAAGGTCAATGTCAACCTTCTCATCTTCCTCCTCAACAAGAAGTTCTTGCGGAAATGATGGAGGCCAGGTGTGAGCCTGCCCCTGGTGCCTCGCAGGATGCTTTCCTTTAACACTAACTCAGCACCGTGCTGCCTGCAGACGCTGGGGCCCAGGACCCAGAACGCCTCGGGAGTCTCCGTCCTTCCCTGCCTGCAAGGAGTCTGCCCGCTGGCCACAGCAGTAGCTCTCTGGTTGGCTATAGTGGGCCCTGCCCCACATGAGGAACCCCCTGGTTTTCCAGCCAGGTGGTGGGTACAAACCTAGGCTCCGCACGTTGGTCTGGGAAAGTTACTGCTCTCGTGCCTGCTGCCGCCTTCCCGCGGTCACCCCAATATTATAAACACTGCCCCGATGGCCTGATTTCCTCTCCACTTCCTTTTCTTGGCAGACCCCCAAAGCCAGGGCCAAGGTCCCCAGCCCCACCTCCCACCGCATCTGCAGCGGCTGCGCCTGCCCGGCCGACGCCCCGGCCGCTCAGCTGCGGGGACACCATACACCCTCGGCCCCTCGCCCTGGCACTGGGGTTTGTTGATGCCCACGTGGCCTGTGGCACTGTTGTTCTCCACGGCGTTATGGGCAAGCTGACCTTCCAGTAACCTCAAACCTCACTCCCCTGTTTATGGTCTGTTTTATATGTGGGTCACTGGGGTATTTATTTTCTCTCCCACCCCTGCACTCCCGACCGCTGAGCCGCCTTAATCATGGTTTTAATTCTCTCTTCTTTTTGCGCTGAGAAAGGGTTCTTGTTTCCCTATTCCAAGTGGTATCCACAGGACGCATTTAGACCTTGGGTTTAAAGTCACCTCGGGGGAGTCCTAGCTCCCCTCCCACGTTACGCCCTCCTGTCAGGGCCAAGTGCAGTCTTTCCCTTTTCTCCTCTGCCCTCAGGACTCTCAGGCCTTGGAGGCGACTCTCCCAGGCGACTTCCACATCCCCAGTCCCCCCCCCCCCCCCCCGCCACTGTCTTTCTGTCACCTCCACATTTTCCCGACTTCCTGTCCCTGCTGCCACAATTTTTCTGGCTTCATTTTAATAAAAGCAGCTGCTACCCCCACATCTGTTATTTACCTTTTATTTCATCTCCTACACAGCAGTCCCCCAGGTTCTGGGCCACAGATTCCGAGAGCCCCGGGGATCCCTCCCGCAGCGCCCCTGCCCCTGCCCTCTCCAGTAGGCCCACTGTGCCTGCCTGAGCTAATGAGATGCGGCGTGTTTGCCCTCTCCCCTCCCCGGGGACAGAGAGGAGGAAGGAATGCTTCGATTTCGGTTCTGTTTTTGTCAGCCACTCTGAAGCCTAGAACTGGGAGGGGAGCCCAGCCCGAGTTCCGCCCCACCCATTTTGCACACGTTCCCAGCAGGTTCTTTCTGGAGCCCTGCGCGCTGACACCAGAAGGGCCTGAACTGAGCTCGCCAGGCGCTGCAGGTCCTGCTCTCCCGTCAGAAGCCCCTCTCGGGGGGAGAGCCCCCTCCTTTGCTCCCTGCTTTCAGGAAACAGGAGGGGAGTCCATGAGGGAGGAGACAGGACACACAGACGTCTGCCCTGACGTTTGAACTCCCAAGCAACCCCCGTTAGCACTCACGTTGGCGGGTGCAGTCAGCCCCCCTCCACGCCATTCCATTCTGTCACTCAGGATCTGTCTTGTTGTCACATCCAATCTCACTCACAGCCTCTTCCCCCCCTTCACATGTCACAGCCAAGACTTCAAGTGCCACCTTGCTCTGGGTGACAGTGACACATACCAGTGCATCCTGGTTTCTACTGCGCTCAGTCATCATTAAAAATCACACTCCCAAACCAAATGGCTCCAACACGGTGCCACCATGGGCTCCCCCACAGTGCCAGGACCACAGCCACGCCGTCACTGAGGGCTGCGGTAGTTACACACATCTGCCCCTCACGACGACGACGTAGAGGTAAGCGATCACCATCTTTGTCTAACAGACTTGAAAGGAGCTCGGGCTCGGAACTCGGCCTGGAGCCCCTCCGTGGGTTAGGGGCAGAGTGAGGCTCTCCGGCCCCCGCTGCCCCAAGAGTTTGGAGTTTGTATTCCCCTGCATTTTTCTCTTCCTTCCACCAACCCTCTCAGTCACTCTCTTTTCTTTTTAAAGATTTACTTACTTATTTGAAAGGCAGAGTTAGAGGGAGAGACAGAGCTTAACAACTGCTGGTTCAGTCCCCAAATGGCCACAACAGCTGGGGCTGGACAAGGTGGAAGACAGTTTGGCAATGACAAAAATGGAAGTGCAGGTGCCAGGACAGTTCACTGGGGGAAAGAACAGTCTAATAGGACAGCTGGGATCCACAAGAAGAATGAAGTTGGACCCCTACCTCATATTATGCAGAAATTAAAACCTCACAGACCTAAATATAAGAAAGTTTTTGGGGCCGTTGCTGCGGCGCAGTGGGTTAACGCCCTGGCATCCCATATGGGTGCCAGTTCTAGTCCCACCTGCTCCTCTTCCGATCCAGCTCTCTGCTGTGGCCTGGGAAAGCAGTAGAAGATGGCCCAAGTCCTTGGGTCCCTGCACCTGTGTGGGAAACCTGGAAGTAGCTCTTGGCTCCTGGCTTCGGGTCAACGCAGCTCCGGCCGTTGCGGCCATCTGGGGAGTGAACCAGCGGATGGGAGATGCTCTCTGTCTCTACCTCTCTCTGTAACTCTTTCAAATAAATAAAATAAATCTTTAAAAAAAAATGTTTTCACAGAAGAAACCTTAGATATACATTTTCCTAATTTTGAATTAGGAAATGATTTATATTTTCCCCCATTTTTGTTTTGTTTTTGTTTTTAGGCAATGATTTCTTAGAACACCAAAAACATACATGACAAAAGAACAAATACATAAACTGGATTTCATCAAAATTAAAGACTTAAGGGTGGGCATTCTACATGGCAGATAAGACATCCCATACCCAGTGCTCAGGTTCCAGTCCCGGCTCTGTTCTGATTCCAGCCTCCTGAATAGGTTGCCATAGGAGGTAGCAGGTAATGGCTGAAGTAGTTGAGTCTCCTCCACCCACATAGAAGATCCAGACAGTTTCAGGCTCCTGGCTTTGGTCTGGCCCAGATCCAACTATTGGGGCATTTGAAAAGTGAACCACTGGATGGAGACTAATCTCTCTCTCTCTCTCTTCCTCCCTCCCTCCCTCCCTCTGTCATTTAAATAAATAAAAAATAAAGAAGTTGGGACCAACCTTATGGCTCAGTGGGTTAAGCCACTGCCTGCAACACCAGCGTTTGAGTCCCAGCTACTCCACTTCAGATCCAGCTCCCTGCCAATGCACCTGGGAAAGTAGAAGATGGCCAAAGTGCTTGAGCCCCTGCCACCCTTATGAGAGACCCAGATGGAGTTCCAGGCTGCTGGCTTCAGTTGCGGCCATTTGGGGAGTGAACCAGCAGATGGAAGATTCTCTCTCTCTCTCTCTCTTTTTTTTTTTTTTTTTTTTTGACAGGCAGAGTGGACAGTGAGAGAGAGAGAGACAGAGAGAAAGGTCTTCCTTTGCCGTTGGTTCACCCTCCAATGGCTGCTGTGGCCGGCGCGTCGCGCTGATCCGATGGCAGGAGCCAGGTACTTCTGGTCTCCCATGGGGTGCAGGGCCCAAGCACTTGGGCCATCCTCCACTGCACTCCCGGGTCACAGCAGAGAGCTGGCCTGGAAGAGGGGCAACCGGGACTAGAACCCGGTGTGCTAGCGCCGCAAGGCGGAGGATTAGCCTAGTGAGCCACGGCACCGGCCTCTCTTTCTCTTTCTCTTTTTCTTCCTGTCTCCCTCCATCTGTAACTCTGCCTCTCAAATAAATAAATAAACCTTTAAAATAATAAATAAGTGAAGTTTGTTTTAAAGACAACTCAAGAAATGATCGAAGGAATTGGATAGACATTTCTGCAAAGAAGATATACAAATGATATGAAAGAATGCTCAATATCACTAGTTAATGAAGTGCAAATCAAATCACTAACACTTCAACCCTACAGGGATGCTGAAATAAAACTGACAGACAATAACAAGTGTTGGTGAGAATGTGGAGGAATTACGGCTTTCATACACTGCTGGGACATTGTAAAGTGGTGGGGTACATCGACAAAGAACTTGACGATTTTTCACAACATTAAGCATGAGGTGCTGCATGATGCAGCAGTTCCACTCCTGGGTGGCTGTGCAAGAAAATTCAAAGCCTCTGTAACCAAAACGTGCACACAAATGTTCACAGTGGCACAAGACGTGGAAATAATAACCCCAGAGGTCCATCAACCAGTGGATGGATAAACAAAAGGTGGTCTATCTGTACAACGGCATATTATCAAAAGGATTGAAGTGGGGCCAGCGCTGTGGCATAGCAGTAAAGCTGCCACCTGCAGTGTCAGCATTCCATATGGGCGCCGGTTCTAGCCCCGGCTACTCCACTTCCTATCCAACTCTCTGCTATGGCCTGGGAAAACAGTAGAAGATGACCCAGGTGCTTGGGCCACTGCACCCACATGGGAGACCCAGAGGAAGCTCCTGGGGCTTTGGATCCGCACAGCTCTGGCCATTGCAGCCAACTGGGGAGTGAACCAGCGGATGGAAGACCTCTCTCTCTCTCTCTCTCTCTCTCTCTCTGCCTCTCCTTCTCTCTGTGTGTAACTCCAACTTTCAAAAAATAAATAAATCTTAAAAAAAAAAAAAGTGAAGTAGTGACATGCACTACAACATGGAGGAACCTTGGAAACATCGGGCTATGTACAAGGACAGGATGCAAAAGGCCCAAATCTTGGCTCCTCTTATATGAAATGTCCAGAATAAGCAGACTTATAGGAATAAGGAGCTCAGTGGTTGTGGTGGGCAAAGGGCCCAATGGAGAGTGACTGGCAATGGGTATGTGATTTCCCTGGGGAGGAATGAAAATGTTTTTTAACCTTTGGTGGTGATGGCTGCACAAGTCTGAATGGGGTAAAAGTCCTTCAATTGTATTCCTCTTAAAGGGTGAACTTTATGGTATGTAAGTTATATTCCAGCAAAGCTTTTCTTTTTGACTTTGACTGTGTAAGTGCATAAAGCAAATGTTTGGCGCAGCAGTAAAAATGTCTCATGGGGGCTGCAGGCATTGTGATGTAGCGGGCAAAGCTGCAGCCTGCAACACTGGCAACCCAAAGAGCGCTAGTTCTTGTCCCAGCTACTCTATTTCTGATCAGCTCCCTGCTAATGTGCCTGGGAGAGCAGTGGAAGATGGACCAAATGCTTGGGCTGCTGCTCCCACATAGGGCTCCTGGCTTTGGCCTGGTCCAGCTCTGGCTGTCGCAGCTATCTGGGGAGTGAACCAAAAGATGGAAGATTCTCTCCCTCTCCCTCTCTTTCTGTGAGTCTGCCTTTTAAATAAACAAATCTTTTTTTAAAAAATGAAAATGGGGGGGGGCTGGTATTGTATAGCGGATAAAGCTACCGCCTGAGATGCCAGCACCCCATATGAGTGCCAATTTGAGTCCTGGCTGTACCACTTCCAATCCAGCTCTCTGCTATGGCCTGGGAAAGCAGCTGAGGATAACCCAAGTGCTTGGGCCCCTGCACCCACATGGAAGACCCGGAAGAAGCACCTGACTTTGGACAAGTCCAGCACTGGCCATTGAGGCCATTTGAGGAGTATACTAGTGGGTGGAAGGTCTCTCTCTCTCTCTCTGTCTCCTTCTTTCTTTGTAAACTCTGCCTTTTGGATAAATAAACAAAAGAAAGAAAAAGAAAGAAAGAAGAAAGGAAGGAAGGACAATGGATTTAAAAGGTAATTTGTTTGCAAGAATAAGTTTTCAATCCATGCATAGTTTTCATAATATGCATTTTCCATGAACTTTTTAAAACCCTCGTACACCTGGATAAGCAGGCAAAGAGCTCTGGAGTGTTTGCTACCATAATCTCTGTGAAGGCAATGGACTTAGCAGGGCGGCCACAGGACGTGACGTTAAGCAGCCACCAGAGATGAGCTAGACACACCTGTGCTGATGTGGAAGCACTGTCAGTGTCCTGGGTTATTGGAAAGACACACAAGAGCCCGGCAGTGGTCGTCTTGGGAGAGGAGGACCCGCT